AGAACCCATTGCATTTCCATGCGTACTTTGGATTCGGCTATTGATATATAAGGTCAACAAATCGCCTCCAATTTGTGGCCAGGAGAGAATATTACAGCGAGGGCAAAGTGTAGAAATTCAGGTAGTTCAGCTTGTAGCCACAGCTATGTGCACAATAATGCTTCGTACACCAGAATGTATTGGCCTTGTACTTTGGAATCCAAGGTTTGCTGGTGGGAAATGACGAAATTTGCTAGAGTTCACTGAATACTGCAAATCAACATATCTATAGGTACTTGTGGCATTTCATCTGTCATCAATTTCCGTTCTCAGGTATGTTCTCTCCCACAGCCGTATCTAGGGAATGGACGTCTGCATTGGGCAAGGAGACACTGATGTAGACGTAAAAACACTGTGTGTAGTGTCGGAAACGCACAGGATGTGTGCATGACCATAATCTTCTTTGCCCAGTTGCAACCTTGCCTGCAGGCGTGCCAGACAGTGAACCTTTTGGATAGCGCACATTACGCCTCTTGGCTTCTCGCGGGGAAGTGAAATTTCAAATTGCAGTGTGCTGCTATTCAAAGTTGAGAGAACACCATGTCAGCAGGTGGCAGAACAACTTGCTCAAATCTGTTCGCCTTCAGTCCTGCGTATTTACAAGAGAAACCAGGTTCAATTCTCAGGCCAGTGTTTCTCCCACATCCACCATCGAGGTGCAAAAGTGAGGCAGCCACGCAAACATCACAGAACATGCCCAGAAATCGTTCGTATTCTACTCGGCAGGTGTCTTCGACGATTTCTTTAACTCTCCAAAGGCGATCGACCCTACAACGGACGTGTTTTTCCCAACCACACGACGGACATGGCGTCCCCAAGCCACCCCTTCCAGGGAGGACACGCAACCGCGCCCCGCCACCCCCAGGATTTACGTCCTACCCGCCGCCTTTACCGACGTGCCACTCAACACGATCATTCCCTCCAAACTGGACAGAAGGACCGGCATGGAAGCAAGCTTAGACAGGCCTGGCGCCAGGGTGCTTGTGGGAGATACGGTGGGGATGAAGAGCGTGCCTTCCGCTGCGGCTGGGCTGGGTGCCTCCAGCGATGATGGCCACGAGGGAGACATGGAACGCGTTTGCGCGTACAGAAGCAACAGTTTCAAGGAGGGGGGTGGCGATGAAGGCAAGGTGGCTTCCAATGTATTTCATGGGTTCTCAGGCACTCTGAGTCTCGTGTGCCGGGCATCCTGATCCAAGCCTTCGGCGAACACATTATTCCACAGACCCCGAGCATCCATAGTTATATAAAGTATGAAGTTTCTTTTCTCACGTTTCGGAGCTGTTGTTGTTCTTTTTCCCGCTGAACTCATGATCTAATTGTTCCATGGCGGTGCTCGACACAGGACCGTTGTTCTCATTCGTGGTCAGTCTGCATCAATTACTGAGAGATTCTGACGCTGCACACACTGTGCGAACGCAACTGTTCCTGCGTCCCAGACTACCCAATCCCAGCATGCGGTCGCTGACAGCCGAGCCGCGTAGTCCTTGCCCCTAGTGCTCTGTGTTCTTTTAGGGCTGGCCTTCTTGTGGAGTGCTCCCAACCACACCTCCCACCTGCAGAGCAATGGCTGACTCTCCCTGTACTTGTGCGGAGGTTAGGATCCACGTGGGCACCTCCGCGAGAAGACGCAGGCCCGCGAGCCCAGGAAGGCCCATCCCAAAGCGAGGACGCCGGTTTCGGCGCAACCGCTGTCTTGCCGGGAGTGGTGCGAACCGGCAGCGGCGCAGCGGGACCCTTAGGCCCCGCCCCGGCGAGCCCCGTCCGCCTGGAGCTCGTCGACACGGACCTCGACGACCTCATCTCCTCCCTGACGCCCTCCTCCCGGGACGGCCAGTGCGTCGTGATGCTGTCCGTGGTGGTGGAGGAGGTCCTGCCGCGGCCGGACGCCGGCCTCCTCAAGCGCATGCTGCGCATGACGGACGTGCCCGTGGGCGTCTTGGAGGGCGGCAGGGAGCCCATCCTCCACCTGCGCGCCTCGTCCGAGTGCCACCTGTCCGTGGGCCTGGCGCAGGTGCAGGGGGCGGAGGGCGGCGTGAGGGTGGTCGGGCCCGTGGGGATCGGGGTGCGGCCCTCGGACGGGGACTGGGCGGAGCTGGACGTGAACTGCGAGCGGGTGGGCGGCGCGGAGCACATCGCCACGGCGTTCTGGAACCTGTCCTCGCATGGGTCGACGCTGCTGACGCGCGCGGCCCCGGCGCCGGAGTCGCGCACGTCGCTCTTGCCCGTGGAGTTCAGGATGGGTGAGTGGCCGTTTTGCGACTCCCTGACTTGCACGCCCATTCGAGTGACAAAGCGGGACCTGCTGGCAGAAGCAACTGTGGCAAATGTGACGTGGCCTCAAATCCGAAGGGGCTGCCTGGCATTCTGCCATTGTGCCGCTGCGCTCTTGTGACTGTCGTTCTGCTGTTTTTCCTTCAGTGTTTCTCGTGTACCGAGGAGGGGGCCCCGAGGCGCAAGAAGTGGAGGTCAAGAAGACCGTGCTGGCCTGCCTCAGGACGGCCGTAGCCACACTCGACGTCGAGCCTCGCTACCAGCACAGCGACACGGTGCTGAATTTCGTCCTCTCTGACATGGAGCTCGTGTCCGTGCCGTCGCTGGTTTGGTTCCTTAAGGCTTCTGCTTGATTGGAGCGGCGCCGCACTGCAGCGATCCAAAGATTACACTCATATCGGGGGTATTCGGTAGTGTGGGCGACACCGCCACCAAACGAGCGCTCGCCACAGTTGTCAAAGGCGTGGCAACACACAGGCCATGCGCCCATCCGGAGGTGCGTGCATTGTTCCAAGCAATCAGCGTGTTCCCAACGTAGAACTGCCCCCGCTCCCAACTGAACGGCCCTGAAAACTGCTGGTGCGACAACACCGACATTTCAGTTCCTGGGCGATGCTGATGCCATGCAGGCAGGGCAGGTGTGTGAAGATACAGCACGGGGCAATACAGCGCCAGCGTACCCCATCCGATATCGGAGAACGATTTTCGCACATTGTTTCCCGAACCCGTCGTGCAGTGCACCAGAAGTCGACGCAAACCATAGAGAAACCCAACCGCTCCTCGTTGACAAGCATTACAAACACAAACAACCTCGACAGCAAGCCCATGGATACCAATCTGCTGCGCCAGATAAGCAGACTGTGGACCTCAATTCTCAACTCTGATCTCGGAGTGTCAACTCAAATAAAATCAACTCGCATGTGTTTGTCATCATCATTGCACAAACCTTGTCGTTCAGTGCTCTCCACCCGTCCAACACGCTGTGCAAGCTAGTAATGCACCAGGTCCTTGCCCTGTTGCAAATGCATGAATAAAATGGGAATCAAACGCAAGATCGAACACTGGGAAGAGCACACAGACAACCTCTCCATCCGCATCTTCTGCATGCCGTCAGTCTGGGCAAGCGCTTGTGGTTTGAAGACTGACTGCACACGCTGAATGCTGTTGTCGATGCTCAATTCCCACAATCAAGGGTGGGTTCGACCGCCCTAGTGTTGCTGGCCACCCGTATGTCAGCCTCCACCTGCCTGTCCCTGCAGCCAGGGACGGCAGCTATCGCTAGGCCGCGCCCTGGTGGGCGGCCCACAATTGTAGCTTCCAGAAAAGAGATCCACAATGCTCAATCGAGAACCAGCATCGCCCGAAAGGTAGGTTCCACCATCCACAATCCATTTTTCCACCAGTGGCAAAGCAGTGAATGCATGGTGACGGACAAATCCTTGCTACAACTGCTGACTGTGTGGTCAGCTGTCAGTGCACCGATACTGTCACAAGTGCATGCTCATGCTGGAGCCCTTACTTTTCTGGCTACTCTGGTGAGCAAAGAATTCACTTCACAAATCCAAAATTCAGCCATTCACCATATCAGACATTTTCCAAAACATTCAACAGTGCCTTGAAGATCACCTATTGAGGCACCTCTGCTGCGAAGCCTTGTACGGTCGCAATAGTCACTGTCAGTTTGAATACCAAAACTTGCCTCTTCGCAAAGTCCCTGTAACCCCCTCCTGAAGCTATGTTAATCGACCAAATTGCCATCTAACAGCAATTCTCCTCCCTGTTGGTTTATGATGGGCCCTTTTCATGGTGATCGCCGTCTGCATTGAATCACAGCGATTTCACAGCAGCAGGGCCATTGTCCTCACCACAGCTAGCAATGCCAACAGCACTCTCCCAGACACTCCCCAAACGCTCTAAGCACAAAAATCGAACTGGGACTCCAGGTCTGGGAGTGCAGCCACAGGGGAAAACCTTTGTGGTTGCTGCCACATCTCCGTGTACCCCTCATAGTACCCCGTCTCTGCAAGCACCCTGTTCCTCTTTCGAAGTGATGACAGTCCTTTCAGGCGGCCAGTGCTCGGATTTGCAAATGCCACCTGCAAGGGACAGCAAAGAGCCAGTGAGCATTACATTACAGCATGCAGGATGCAAAGAGCCATGCAACTCACATCAACCAAGTACAGCTGCCACTTATGCAGACGCACTGGGATAACACAACAACAGTATCTCTTGGTTCGCATGCCACATGGCATATCCACAAATTCCAGTTGGTGCATGCTGCCCACATTGATGGCGAATGCCCCTCCAGGAACCTTCAGCCATGTCAACAATGTTCGCAAGGTCAATAGAGCTACTCGAACACACCTTTTCAGGGTCGTTGTTCAGCGACAGGTACTCATGTGGTGGAATGAAAGGGCTGCAACCATGGTCCTCAGATGCAGCAGCTGCCTTGCAAGAAGACTGTCTTGAAATCGGAACAGGAGCGGATTTAAACCCCGGGCCCTTGGGCAGCTCCTGCAAGCAAGCTTCCCTGCACTTCGCCGCCCAGCTCTGCAATGTCAACTCCTTCCGTTGCAGCAGCTTTCCAGTTGGCGGCTCAAAGCCGACCTTCAGCTGATCTTGATCTCCCTGACACCTAGCTTTTGGCTGGTGGCTGGACCGGCTCCTGCCCAGCTTTCCAAAGGGTTTGGTAGGCATGAAGCCCCCACCGACTGCGGGCCGGGCTGTGGGCAAATGGCCGGACTTATTTCGGAACAGTCTCCCAGCTGCGGTGGACTTCGCAGGTTCCAGGCCGAAACTTCCTCCAAATTCGTTATCTCGGCCCATGAAATCCTCCAAGACGTTCAAGACATTCGTATCGTTCGATGCCTCGCTGCAAGTGTCGGACACCGCCGTGAATCGCTCCGAAGTCGCGTCGTGATCGCTCCTGACGCCGCCAATTTCCATCTCCATTTGGAAGATGTCCAAATTAGGCGCGTCGTGGGCGACCTTGGGCCTGCGCCCCTCGGCAGCCAGCGCCAGGGGAAACCTGGGGCCCTCGGCCGCCTTCAGGGGGGGGATGGCCAGGGCGCCCGCCGCTCGCTGCAACTCCCTCCGCATACCGGAAACGGGAGCGCCAGTGTTCCCTGCGACAGCGCACACGCCCAGATCACGTCTACGCCGTCGCAATTCAATCAGCAACACGTCCATGACGCTGATCCCGAACAGAGCAGGCGCCGAGCGCCGCGGCACGCCGCCCTAAGGGCTCGCACGGCTGCACGCGCCGACGGCCCCCCGGGCGGCACCTCCCGACTCGGACCAGGCGGTAGCGTGCACCCGGCCTTTGGAAATCAACGTTCAGGCCTCTGGCACGAGCCCACACAGCCCCAACGGCAACATCATCACGCCACGCGCCGGGCGCCCGCGCCCACGCCGCCAGCACGCGCCGCCGCACGCCGCCACGTGTTCCCCCGGTGCCCCGTCACATGTCCCGGTCGCGCCGCCATCGCGCGCCCCTCCCCCCAATACCGCATGCCCAATTGCGCGGCCCGGGCGGCGCGGATCAGCTCCACTCGCCCGAGGTCCCTCCCCGCTGGCACCCCGCCGGGCTCGGCCGGCGTCGATCTCCCATACTCCCTTCGCTCACCGTCCTGGAACGTCCTCGCGCCAGCCGCCCTCGCCATCTTTTGGCCCACCCAACACGGCGGCGCCGTGGCCATGTCCAACTCGCCGGACTGCCCTTCAGCTAAGCGAGCAGGCGCCTTCCAAACCGCACAACGGCCCAAGCCCTCTTGATCGTCCAGCCCGTTTTCTCCGCCCGCTGCGCGTCCCCCGCGGCCGCCCCCCTCCGCGCACAAGGCGAGCCTCAGGGATCCCAGCCGCTGGGCTCCGCGCCAGGCGGGCCGCGCTGCGCGAAATTGGTCACGCCTGGGGTTGGGCAACGCTTGGCGAAACGCGCCGGCGAAGGCAGGGGCGCCTCCGAGCACTGGGAGGCTCTGGAGCAATGCGTGCGGGTTATGGCGCGCTGGACCACACCAGGCGACAGCTCAATGGCGGCTCAGCGCTGATCTGGGGCGGCATATACCGGGGTCAACGTTGTCCAAGGTACTGGCGGGTCGGGCTGGCGCGGGGCTGTCTGCCGGTTGCGGCTCGACACGGCGCCCTGCCGTACGCGGAACGAAACGCCCATTCGGATCGGGGGCATTGGGAGTGGGCACTACACCCCGGTTACCTGATCCGGGGGGGTGGGGGCGCGGCGAACCCCGCGAGAAAGCCGGTGTACAGAGAATTACGAGGGAGGTGGTGCGGTGGTGCGGCGCGGACGGGGTGAGTAGTCTGCGTTGGACGACACCGCACATGTCAGTATGACTTTGGTGTGATGCGGGCGAGTGAAGAGGGGCTGTGGGACTTGCTGTCCGCAAGTGGTTTCGGCGGCAAGGAGGCGAGAGCCTGGGTTCCCTCGGGGCAGCGCCGGGGTCGGACAAGATGGCCTGAGAAGGAAAATACAGGGAACTGGCAAAGCGGAGTGCAGCGAGCGAAGCAACTGGTTGTCGCAACGAGTACGGGGGGATGGAGCGTCTACCAACAGACAGCAGGAAACTTGGTCAGTTGAAGCTCCCCGTCCAACACCACGATAGGGCTGCTGTGATGCTTGTGTGGCAACTCTTGGTGCTGTGGACCAGCAGGCAAACCTGCGCCTGGAAGCATGCTCCTCTGCCAGTTGTCAAACGCACTGCTGCGACACAATGGTGGGCGAGGACGGCCGGTTGGGATGTGAAGGGTTTGGGACACCTCAGGCAGACAATGCGCTGTGCGCCGCTTTTGGCTTTTGGACATCTCAATGCGATATTTCTGAGCCGTGTTATGCGGCTCATAAAGCTGTCAGTTTTTCTGCCAGTGCCTCTTCCCTCTTCTCGGTTTCTTAAAGCGTTTCTGGAGCCCGGAGCTCAACAAGTAATCCAACGCAAAATGAGCAAAAAATTGGCAAATTGTCCTCATTCGGAAGAATTCAGAGACCAGCAAACGTGGCCGATGGATATCCATTTTCGGAGAATTGCTTCCGTTTCTTTGCCTTCAAACTTTCCAGCTGCCAGCGACTCCTTGGCGATCCATGCGACGTTCCTGTGTGCGAGTCAGTAGCCCACCTTGCGGGTGGGAAGCGCCGGTCTGCGAGGTCGATTGGAACTGTGGCGGGCAGAAATGAGCGGGAAAGGCCTGGACGGCCTCCCAGCGGGACTTGGTAGTGACGGTTGCTCGGCGGGAAACATGCTGCGATTCCTGGAGTCGACGCTCGCGGAGGTGATGATGCCGTCTCGATGCTTGCGCTGTTCGCTATCCTCGCCGTGACCCTGTCCTTGGCACCCATTCTAGCATTCGCGTCGGACCTTGCAAAGGCAGTTGCTCCCTTCGGCGTCTGCTTGCACTGTTGCAGCCTCGGGCCAATTCTTCCGTTCCAGCTGCAGATCTGCTTGTTGTGGCTGTGATATGACATCTTGGGCGTAACTCGTCGGGGCGCCCTTGTCTGCAGCTTGATGCCGCCGCGGGGTGTGTTGATGATGAGGCACACCGACAGCTTGACGCCCTCCGGCAAAAGACGAGCCGGCTGGAGAGTGGTGTCATGGACACCTCACAACAACCGGAGGCCATGCAGCAGTTCTCTGAGGCGGAAATCGCCCACGAGCTGGACAAGTGGGGCCCCTACTTGTCCGCATTGTTGGCTACCGTGCATAGCAGGAGGGAAACTGGGCTGGAACGTGACGCCTTGCCATGCACCATGTCGAGGGATTTTGTGGCGCTTTCTTTTCAAACTGAAGCTGTTGAGCTGCTTGGCTTAAAGCTATGAGGAGAAAAGCAAATGCACAGCAGAAAGGAAGCAGTGCAAGTGTGGCGAGAAAGAAGCATGTCTCGCACAGGGAACACAACTGGTGCAACTCATTGGCAGCTGCTTTTCCAGCATTCAGCAGATTCCTTGTGAACTTGGTGAACTTTGCAGGCCAAAAGAGCCAGTTCTGTTCTGGATGAAAGTTGCAGCAGGGTAAAATGCCGCTGGTCTGCAGGCCAAGACTCGATTAATCCTGCCAGAAGCCCTTTAACATGACAGGCCAGCCACATGAATTGCTTTAACACGGCACCTATGCAGGCATTCAGGATTCACAGCATTCAAGCTCACGAATACAGTGTGCTTTGCAAAAGTGGGGGGAGTTGCGTTGAGCCATGATATGTGCACCTTTTACATTTCTCATTTCTCTTTTGTGCAGGTTGGAAAGCCGCTTGGCTGCTATGGAACACAAACTGGCGGACGCCGATGAGGACACAAAGCATCTGCTGGGCACAGGAGCACAGCTGTGGATGGGCCTTGCCACTCCACCTGGAAACAGAGCGCCTGAGACTGTTGAGTCGCAAGCACCACTCTCGAAGTAGCATGTCTTGTTGGCAGGTACTTGACACAGCAGTATTGCCAATCAGTCACCATGGCCGAAGGACTGTTCTGGCAGTGGTGGTTGTCAAAGATGCTCACCAGCTGCATTTTGCTGTGGCCAATTGTCCCAAATTTTTTGTTCCTGTAAGTTGAATCTGTCGCAACTAGTAGACTTTGTGAGCACCAATGTGATGATAGGGTTAGAGTTTTAGCTTCTGTAGGTTGTGTAAGTTGTGGCCTTGCTGGATAGAAGTAGTTCTGCATTGGCCTGGACTGGGGATTGGTGCATGGTTTGCTTGATGGTTCCTGTGGGAACATCTGGGCGTTGAATTCATCATTTCCAACGTAGGCTTTGCTGAAGACAGTTCGTTGGCATTTTAGTTTGGAGTTCTCTGCTGCACAGTTGTAGTTTCCAAATGCTGTGTCGAGTGTACGGCACCACACATGCTCCTTGCCTTTTACTCTGTTTCTTTGTTTCGCTGACAATGGACGGAAAATCAGCACACCAGGTGGAATAAACCTCACTCGATCACAAAAGTGCTTGAGTCTTCACTGGCGCAAATTCAGCTTGGTACTGGGGGTGTTCATTTCTGTAGGGCAGTAGTTTCGAGAAAGGGCAGCACAGTCTCCAGGAACGAAACTGTTTGGTCCATGGCAAACTGCTGTTCGCAGGCTCCAATGCTTTTGATGCAGCGCCCAGCAATTGCTGAATGGTTCTGTTAAACAAGACAGGCGTCATCTGCATTCGAGTTTGTTGTTGACCACAGAGACACCTACAATTATTGTTTTCAACACTGGCTCTCTTGGAACACATTTGCTGCTATTGAGCCGCCATCGCTGTGGGTGATGGCAGTCCAATCCTCAATGCACAAAATCGTGATAAACACTTGGCCAGAAGGAGGCCATATCGAACGCTGGACGCGCTTGCAAGTGGAGTACATGCGCAAGAACAGACAGGACACTTTCGTGGTGCTGCAACTCCTTGCAATCTGATAAACAACAATGGGCAGCCCCCGTCAGGTCTGCCAAAGCATGACGCGCCCCCTCTCCAGATATCTGAGGGTGACTCCCACACCAGCCGCCTATAGAGGGCATCGCAAGAAGCAGAGAGGCTAGTTGTCCACGGACTCCATTCCACCACCGAGAGGCAACATTGCAGCACCAACGTCGCAAGCCAGTCCCATACAAAAAATAATAGTAAGTTCAGGCCACGAAATCCTGCCAGCTGAAAGGCCGAGAAAACACAATCGAGCACCCAAGAATTGCGCCACGAGGCGTTCCACCCGCAAGCGCCCGGCTAGCTCCTCTCCAGCTCCCTCTTCTGCGCCTCGAAGTGCAGCCGCGCCCAGCGCTCCCCGTCCCTGTCCATGTCCTCCTTGAACAGCCTGGCCACGTCATCCCCTATGGTCCGCACGCTGCAGCCCGTGGACAGCGCCTTCACCTGGATCTCCGCGGCCCTCTCCAGGTAGTACAGGTCGTCGAAGGCCTGCGCGATCGTCCTGCCCACCACGATCACCCCGTGGTGGCGGTGCAGCACGACCTTCTTGTCTCCAAGCGCGTCCGCCACCCTGTCCCCCTCTCCCCGGTCGGTCACCAGGCCGTTGAACTCCTCGTCGTAGGCCACGTCGTTCCAGAAGCGCAGCGAGTTCTGGTGCACCATCATCAGCCGCATGGGCTCGATGCAGCACAGCGTGGTGGCGTAGGGCATGTGGGTGTGAAAGACCGCGGCGGCCTCGACCGGCCGGCGCTCGTGGATCCTGCTGTGGATCCAGAAGGCCGTGACTTCGGGCTCGCCCGTGCCGCGCACCACCTTGCCCGCCATGTCGACGGTCAGCAGGTTGGAGGGCGTGACCTCGGACCAGAGGAGGGAGTAGGGGATGCAGAGGAAGAGGGAGGGGTCGCCGGGGACCACGGCTGTGAGGTGGTTGCAGATGCCCTCGCTCAGGCCCAGCTTGTAGCACAGGCGGTAGGCGGCCGCCAGGTCCACGCGGGCCGCCCACTCGGCGTCCGTGCAGCCGGGGAGAGGGACGGAGAGGTCATTGGTGCAGGGGGTGGCGGTGGAGGGGTCCACGGCCGCTCCCATGGCGTCGCCGGCGCTGGAGCTGGGCGCGGGTGGGGCGCTGGGGTGTTGGGCTTGGCGTAGCGGGGACGGCTGTGGGCCCCAGGTTGCCAGTTTGTGCGTTGGGGGCTCCCAGGTTGCACCGCTGATTTTCTGTGGACCTAAGGATGTGCCAGGCACGCAGTTAGGTCAGGACAAGGGGGAGGGGTGGCGGTGTGGGGGCGGTTTGCGTGGGCATAAAATTACTCCCTGCATCAAATCGGTGACTGCTTGCACGAAAACGGTGACTGCTTGCACCAAGTCACGTGCACATCATGTCCAGCTCCGTCAAAACTAACCTAAACTAAAACCTAAACCCTAAACCCTAAACCTAAACCTGTCCCAACCCTAACCCTAACCCTAAAACTCACCTGAACTAAACCTAACCCTAAAACTGAGGTTAGGACAAAGTGTGCACGTGACTTGGTGCAAGCAGTCACCGATTTGGTGCAGGCAGTAATATTATTTCGTTTGCGTGGGGCAACAGTTCTGCGCAAAGTACGGCGGTGGTGGCGGCAGGCTTGGGGGCAAAACCCGTGCAGGAGACGCGGCAGAGCCTTGAGAATCGCTGGTCTGATTGCGCATTTTCTTTTGGTGTTGCGCTGCCACGATGCGACAAAGTTTGGGGCTTTTGCGGGGGAAAGCAAAATTGCTTTCTCGCAAGACACAAGATTTCAAACACATAACTGGGACTGGAAGGTACCACATCAGAGAGAGCACGGTTTGCGCCAAGTGCAATCTGGGCGAAAGGATACAGACACACAATGGTCTGTCCTTGCGACTGTGCTGACGAACTATCCGGGACAACGGTTCAGGAGAGCATTTCCCGGGAGTATGTACAGCAAGTGACAGCGCAACAAGGACTTGGCAGTTCTAAAAATAGAATTTAGGCTCGGGCACGATGGCTTAAACCCAACTCCAAAGTCCGTCCTCAACAACTTGCCGGTCCGCGCCAAAAGCTTTGTGTCACCAAATGGGCCCACTGTGGTGCTCCGCACGTTTGCCTCCGTCCCAGCAGTCGGTGCCGTGACCTGGAAAACTCCGAGCGCTCCCCATCCCGCACTGGCGCCGCCGCCCGCCTCTCGTTGAGAGGACGCTCGATCGATTGGGGCGAGAGGCATGGGGAAGCGAAGCAGGACCAGCCAGCAGGAGGTTATTGATCTCCTGGACTCTCCCTGCACCCGTAGTCAAGACCCCGCCAGAGATAGTCAAAGCCACAAAAGGTGAGCCGCTGCCCGTTGTGTCGCATCTCGGGCGCCCCGCCGTCAGCAGTTTGTGACGGATGTCGTCACAATTGTCGTCGCTGCGCACGGATGTGCGGCTCCCCGCCCCCCTGCTTCCCACCCATTTGGAAGCACCCGAGAAAGCAGCTGGGCGGCTTTGTCAGGATCCGTTTTGCCTTGCGGCCGCAGCGTGCGCTGGGGGTCCCTGGTCCTCAGTCCCTCTCGATCGTCCGCCTCCCAGCAGCAATTTGGGGAAGAGAATTTGTGCTTCAGCCAGACCCAAGGGAGCCGGGCCTGGACGAGCAAGGGGGCCGCGTCGCCGCCCAGAACTCCTCCTGGTCGCTCGGGGAAGGACCAGTGGGCGGAGGTGCATGCGCCGACCTGCGTAGCAGAATTGGCTGTGCAAGCGAAGAAGGTCGATGAGGTGAAGGACTGGCTCCTCAGACACGCCCCTGGATCGGCAGCGGCCCAAGGGCCCAGGATGGTCTTGTTGTCAGGTGACCCACGTGCCAGTAGCTGCGCTGTATGCGCATTCAGATGGCCCAGAAACGGACTTCTGCATTTGGGTTAATGGACGTCTCACCTCACTGCACGTTTGTGGTTGCTCCACTGTGGATGAACGTGTGGACGCATTTTGTGACCCGAATCAACAAATTTTAGTTGTGCAATCTGCAGCACATTGTCAGTTGGGGTGAGATTATGCTGAAAACTCTTAGCATCCCATTGTGTTGAGGATTGGAAAGCAACCTGGCCTGCCATACGGAAGCATCCCTTTTCTTTGCACCTGGAGGTGCAGTGTTCTCTGAATATTGTGTCCAGATAATGGAAGCCTGGAGACTCCTTGTGTGCTTCGTGTTTTAGGCCTGCCTGGCACTTGCAAGAGCACAGCTATCCGGCTCCTGGCAAAAGAGTGTGGTTATCAGCTGACTGAATGGATGGCGCCTGTGCCCACTCTGTGGTCTGAAAGGCAACACGGGGTGCGTGTTGTACTGTGATTTGATGTTTGGCAAGTTCGTGTGTGTTCTATTTCTAATGTTACACAGCACATGTGGAGTCCAAGTGCAGCGCCTCTTCCATTTGTTTGTTGCTTGGTGTGTCACTCAGTTGCCAGATGAGTCTGGCGTACTGTGGTCCCTCTGTCCAATGTTTGACTCATCTATCTACTGTGTCCCTCACAGCAATTCAACCTTGGGCAATTGTATTTTCCCCAGCTCAAAGTGCAGAGAAGGAAAGCATCACAGAACCATTGGCATGTGCTGACTATATTGGCTCCCTGACCTTGCCCCTGGCTACCAGCCCCAAAAGGGTTGCTACTATGGCGTATCCAGTAGCAGGAATTGGACTGGCTTGATAGCATTTGCAGTGTACTCTTTTGCAGTGCATACTGTATCTTATGGATGGCTTAAAAGCCCTTGGGAACAGTTGTGAAGACACTGGTGCCCAGTGTTGCTGTGCAGATGGAATTCGAACGTTATGATAACCACAATGCCAATGTTGTTAATTTGAGTTTGCAGGACAGTAGTGGGATGTTCTGCTTGTAAGCACATTCTGGCCCCAGTGGTGCTGTCTGTTTCATCTTGCTGTGATTCGTTTCCACAGAGGTCACTGGGGCACAATGCATATATTGTTCCCGTTCACCAGCGGAATTTCATTCCTGAAAGTTGTGCAAAAAGAAAAACTGGTGTGCTGACGATTCAGTTGTGAAAGCACTAGCATCGCATGGATTTTTACCAATACAGGTGATGGTGAGCTGATCATGCAATTCACAGTGCACTGTGTTCCATGCTCAGGGGCCCCATGGACTTCAGTACGTCTCCAAGCTGGACTCTTTTGCAGAATTTGTCAGCTGCTCCAAGTTCCCAATGCTGCCATTGCATGTGTCAGCTGCCACAGGTGTGCTCTTCTCATAAACTGGAACATCAACACGACAAATGTGTGTCGAGACCAGGACACAGTTTCAAGATGGAGACACCATTTGGAAGAAAATTCGTGGCTGCAAGTGCACTGCTTTGCCAGGTTGTGCCAACAGAGTCAAAGCAGAGTTGCAGACTGCCTGATTTATGCATTATTTCAAGACAGAATTAGTGTGCAGAAATTTATGCATTGGCATAGCACAATGTGGTCCTTATGCTGAGCGAACTCAGCAAACAAATGAAACACACGATTTTTTGTTTCAAGTGAGTTGTAAATCATAGCTGCACCAAACATGGCAAGAATTTTGAACCTGACTTGAAAGATGCGTTTCTTCACGTTTTGCTGTGGCAAGCGTACTCACTCAGGCTGCGCATTTCGGCATCTCAAGATGTACTGTAACTCCTTAAATGGACTGAAAGGGTGCCCTGTGGCATCAGCCTGGCATGTCCGCATGAACGCAATTGACATAGGGCGATTTGGAACGTTGGGTTGCTGCAACGGCATGGTGTACACCAATGCCCCCCTTGATATCTGTCTCTGGTTTCTCCATGTAATCTGTTCTCAAAGATGTCAGTCGCAGCACTTGGCACCTGCCAGTCCATGAACATTGTCACTTGTAAGCTCACACGATGCAGCAGTTAATTTGCAGAGGGGTCGACTTCTGCAGCCACTGGAAAGGACAACCCAAAGCTACTACTTGTCGATGACCTGCCCCATCCTCATTCGGCGGCTGCACGAGCCAAATTGATGACCTCCCTTGAACAGCTTGCTACATCTGCCCGCTTTCCCACTGTGTGCGTGTTAACTGAAAGCCCTGGCAGCCACCACCGTGGGGATCACGAAGGTGGCAACGGTTCCCTGCCCAACAAGGATGTGCTCGAAGCGCTGCAGCGGCTGGGAGTCCCACACATTCACTTTAACCCTGTCACACAACCCAATGCTGTGAAGGCCATGGAGAGGATTTTGGATATAGAAGGCATGACAGTGGAGAAGCAAGTGCTTCGCCATATTTTGGCTGGAGCCAAAGGAGACCTCAAGAATGCAGTGCACACTCTCCAGGTTGCAGTCACTGGCCTGAAGCCTGATTACGGGGGGAGAAGGAAAGCAAAGAGGAAGAAGGGGTGCCAGATGGGGGTCCTGCATATGGAGGTCGATCGGCTGGCTTCCATACAGCGCGATGCTCAGCTGTCAGTGTTCCATGCCTTGGGGAAAATCCTTTACAACAAGCGCGAAAATGATAAGGGTGGAAGTGCACTTTGTGCAAGGACATGCTTGCAGCTACCCAGCAGTTCGCAAGCGCAAGACCAAGTGTGTAGCCTGAAATCGGTGCAATTGCTTGACAGGTATGGTTGAAAGGACTGATACTGCAAGGTTGTTAAGTCAGTCACAAAAGGGGATTGCGGACAGTCTGGGGCTCTGTCTGATTGAATATGCCAGCCACCCATTCCTGCAATTGTTTGCAACATGTTGACGCCACTCAATCCACTTTAATGTACTGCTTGCTGCTGAAGATTGTGGGTTCAGAAAGATTAGGACACAAGCTCAGTTGCTTTATCCACCACACCCCTAGCCAAAACCACTTTCAGGGTTGCCCAGTCGGTTCTTTCCGTTTTGAGGATTGCAGTTGGCATGGTGTTGCCCAGGTACATGCGACCCCCATCGAAATACAATCCTGAAGAGGTCGTTGGGTTGTCAGGCCTGGACGCCTCTTCTTTGGTTGGATTCTTGCACGAGCACCACCTTCATTTCTGTCACAGTGACGCCATGGACACTGCTGCAGATGCAGCAGAGTATTTCAGCGATGCTGGTAAGAGCCGGTGGCCAGTACTGCTGCTGCACAGGGCTTGTGTCGCATGTTTCTAAGAGGCTCTGCATATCCTACTTATTATGATGTGTTTCTATCTGCTCAATACTGAAGTGAGGGCATTTCCTCTGAATCAAGAATGTGGATTTAGTGCATCAACGGATGCACCTTCTGCTGACACCCAGCAGTTGGCTATGTTCATATATTCTGCATGAACCATATGTGCTTGGGAATGTGCTCTCATGGTTACAATTTGTGTGGGTCAAAAATTGTTGCATGGGGTGTGATGCCCAACTTCGATTGCATGAGAAAATGTAGCTGCTGGAATTCTCAGGCCCCACTCACTTATCAGCAAGAACCCTCTGCTTGCAATGACATGAACACAGACCCTACCAGTGGCAAAGTTACACATGCTCCACTTCTATTGTGCTGCGCACAGATGTGCTGGCAGGCTGGGATGCCACGAGGTCACGCTCAACAGTGCAGTCTGACGATGGAGCCAACATTGCAGTACCCCTGCAACATCTAGCTGCAGAATCCATCGCAGCAAGGGGCATCATGTTTGCCAACAGCTCTCCGGCCCCCCCTCGACATCTGTACCATTTTCACGGTCCGCTATCTTCCACAGTGGAACAAACAAGGCAAGCCAACCTTCAGGAGCTCAACAGGGCGGTGATGCGATTGCAGAGTGCGGGCTGTCGCCTGGCTGACGATGCTTCCATCTACAGTGTTGACTGCCTCCCTCTGCTGAGGCAGCTGAATGTCTCTGGTGGAAAAAGGGTGGCAGTGTTGCCGAGGAGGTTGTCATATATACACCAAGGCACCGTAGAGAACTGGCAGAATAGTGAACTAGAGATTGGGGTAGACGATGCAAGAAATGCGCTGAGAGATGTGCGGTTATCCGGGAGTGGGTCCATTGTTGAGGAAGATGTAATTGAAGATTATGATGATTGATTCACAGTTGCAGTGCCCTGCTGGATGTGCCACCCAGTAGTTGCCTAAGCCCTCCATACTTGATGTCGCAGAATCGGGCAGCCATCCAATGGGTCTGCTCTGCCTATTGCTGTGCGTGGTGCAGCATTGGTGCCTGTATTCAGTGGTTGATCATCGTCCCTTGTGCTCCCATCCACTCCTCTGTTAAGGCGAGCACGTCTTCTTCACCGTAACTCCCATCCTTTTCAAGTTCCTGCAACCTTGGCGTTTCGTGCAGGCCTGTGTGTCGTGTAGTGGAAGCTGCAGGCAGAAGAAGAGTAGCTGTCATTTTGAAGCCTTTTCAGACACCACAAGAGCATGTCCACTATCCAAATATCGCTTTGCTCCAGTATCCATGTGCACAGCGGGGTCGTTGCTCGCGGCCCAAGTGCAGTTGTCTCATTCCCAGTAGTCAGAATTAACTTGCTGATGACTCCATTCCATGAAAGCTTGAACCACAGCATCATCGGATACAGCAGAGGAAGGGTAATTGGCTCAGAGCTGGGCCCTCATTGAAGCAGAACATGTTGTCCAGCTCCCATCCCCTGCTGGGCACACAACTGAAACAGCACAACACAACCGTGTAGTATTCACTTCTAAGGCAATTTCAAAGTCTTTCCTGAGAACAGTCAGAATGCCACAGTCAAGAGCTGTTTTGATGCCAACAGCCTGAAGAAGGCCGGTTGGAGCCCGTCCTGCCTTGAGTTCATTAAACTGAACTGCAGGGATGAACACATCTTGCATACAATCCCTCACGAATGCGTTCTTTTCGTTCGGAACAATGAACCATGTGTACGCACACCGATTGCGAAGCTCGATACGGGTGGTGGCCCTGCTGCTGGGTGCACAGGCTTGTGGGCGCTCGTTGTGGATGGCTTGGTGGCCTGGACCTTGAGGCCCGTTCCTGGGGCCTAGCACCCTCAAAATATAATGCAAGAGTTGGACCCCCCCAAAGTAAATTTAAGCAAAACTGGAGTGTTGTAGGGCACTTTGGTGTGCTTCGACATTTTAGGGCACCCGTGCCAAATTGGAAGCAATGCAGGTTGCTGGAAGCATATGACAGCAACAGCATTGTTTCACTCTCATTAATGAGAGTGTTTGGGTCGCCAATAAATGGGGCTCATCCAAAAAATTAGTAGGTTAATGGCACCGCTCAGCTGGCGACCCGTGAGATCCAGAGATGATGCAGAGGGGATGTCGACAACCTCAGCACATTCGTCACGCTGACTATCATCCAGCAGGTTGGCGCTCAATGAGGCAGAAACCCCAAAACGTCAATCAGGGTAATCCAAGCCCAAGGCACTCAGAATGCAAGGAGATGACTTTAGTGACAAAGAGAGACCATGGCAGCCTCACTACATGCCTAAAGTACCCAAAGCAATGCAGTTGTGATGCCGGACACAGCTCCAGTACGTGGCAGAGCGCGTCACGGGCACACCGGTGCCAGACACATTTGGAAAACACCGTGAAGTACTGAGATGCACCTAGGTTTTTGTTCGGCATGTGCGTTTGCTTTGGCAAGGGGTACAGCCGTGCTTGACCGGGCATATTGGATGCAGAAAGGCTTGGCGAGTCGGACTGCGTCGGTTTTTTCGAGCAATGCCCGTTGATCGAGCCGGGACGGCCGTGGCTGGCCACGGTGCAGCCGATGGGGGATGTCAGACCCGCGGCCGAATCGCCGATTGAAATGGATCGAGGTCGAAGTTGCTGGGCGGTTTTCTGGCGAACGGGCAGGCCTTTTAACATGCGTGGTCGGCTGTGTGGCGGAGCGCCGTGAGTTCGAGCGAGCGCGGGCGCCCTGGATGCGCGGAACGGGAGGTTGCAGGGCTGATGCGAATGGCACGCAAATGTATTGCGGCTGGATTTGTCATCGTGGCATGGTGCTGGAGTATTCTGGCGTCCTGTGGCATGCAAGCTGCTCAGAAGTGTGCTCCTAGCTTAGAGCACAATGGTTCGTCACGGAAGGCTGGGTGCCATCAGTCTGAAAAGTGGACTTGTGGAAGTTGGTCGAACCCGGATTTGAAGTTATCAATCAGTTGCAAGTCATACTTGCAACATGCTGTTGCTATACCAAGGTATGTAGAGCGTTTTAAAGAAGTCATTTGCAAAAGATTTCACCTCAAACAGATCCTTGGTGTACAAGGTATGACATTTTATGCGCGATGGTGCCGTTTTGGATGGAGGGGAATTAACCCCCTATGCGACATGCCATGGGGCGCTGTGAGACGGGGACAGGAGGGGCCCGTGGAGGCGCCACATAGCTGTTTGATGGGGATATGGCCCGCGGGGCATTACGTGGCCGGGAAGTGGGGCGCACCGGTGTGAGTTGTGGTGACACGGCAGTGTGGTCGAAAGATTCTGCGGAATCAGAAGATGCTGTTTCATGTGGGGGGGCATTTCAAACTCGGGGGAGGTTACAAGTACTAGGGGTGCGGACAGCGCCGTGGGGGACTCTCGATTGTTGCGCGCGGCATGGCAGCTCTAAGAACGGCTGCATGGGGTCCGTGTGTGTCTCGCGCGGCGGTCTAGGCGTTCGGCCTGGCTGCCTGACTCCCCTGGCTGTGCGCAACGTTCGCCACGGCCTGAGCGCAATACCGCTCAACCTTTCGAAGGTCGCGGCCAGTCTGGGCCCTGTTTCCAAGGCGTTTCCTTGCCGTTCAAGACCAGCACTTCCAGTGTGGTCTAGTTGCCGGCCAGAACTTGCCAAGTCTCGTCGCTGCACAGCCTTGTCGAGGCAGAGAGAAGCGTTTTCCGTGTCATACACCGACGTGCTGTGGACAAGGGCGCCCTAACCCGTGGACCTGACTTCCGTTTCGACTTCATCGACCGTTGGGGAGCAGTTGCGACCGGTTGGGGCGCTCTGAGAGCAGCGGTGAGAGGTTCTACAACTCTTGAAGGAAAAGCCGTTGATGCGATTCAAGCGGCTCCCTTTGGAGTGCACACGGGAAGCGCGAATCCACGATCGCCGATGCTTCAACGGCCTTGGCACACGGCCAGACGCAAGGCCACACCACACACAAAACGCCCAGGGCTTACATATTTGTTCACCCTTCCCACAGCGAAGGGCCTTGCCGACGGTGGCAACGACCCCCGCAACCGAACAGTTCGAATTCCCTTGCACCCACAGAACTTTCCTTTTCACGTGACAAGGACCATCATCCATCACCAACCAGCCATACGACATTTCAAAGATACCCACTCATCACCACAATGCAACCCACTCTATAACACATATACTAAAGGTGCCCATAAACTCAATGGCAATGTAGAAATATTTCAGCTGCGAGCGCGACCTCAACATAACACTTGTCTCTAAATCGGATGGCATCTCCCACAGCAACCAAGTTGATGCTCACAAAAGTCCCATCACATGAGAAACAATTCTGTGAATTCTGAAACACATTTTTCTTTTCCTTTTCTACATTCAGAATGCCTTGCATAGAAACCATATTCTTGACGTGCATACAAGTCGCACACCATAATGCATAAGTGATCCACCCAGTGAAACGGTGGTCATTATGCGGTGTTGCGAACACAACCGTATTTGCATGGCTGGCTGGTAGTGGGAAGTTTGCTACCCGTTTGAAGCTTCCCCTTGCCGTCTCCACTATTTTGTTTGGTCGTCGTCGTTGCGACAAGCAGTTCTTCGCGAAGAGCCAGCTCGCGAGAGGGGCAAAAGTTTGGTCGTTCAGTGAACCCTCAACTGACGTGGTGCTGAGGCTGTCGACATGGCTCAGCTGCCCGTTTGAGGGTGATTTGCTGCGCTATCTCCGGGGGTAACGGCCGGGACCGCCGCCCTTTGCAAGAGTGAAATAGTGTTGTTGCTATCGTGTGATAGAAGCAACTCGCTAACAGTGAGCAGCTTCCATCATCAACAAATCTCCTCAACAAGTGCACAATAATGAGCTGATGCTGGGCAGCTGCACAGCCCTTGCGTACACTGCACGCCCTGCGACAAAAGCTCCACACACTGCAGTTTTCTCACCAGCCAAGCGACCGGCGGCGTCGGCCAGCCCCCACTCCCACCCCCTTTCGACGCTCGGCCCTTCTTCCATCAACCTCGCGCGCATCCTCTGGCATCATGAAAGGCGTTGGGGGTCTCGCGCCGCCGCCCGTGGAGGAGGAGGAGGAGGAGGCCGCCGCCAGCGCGTCGCACCACCACGTCATATTCATCATCGAGCGGGCCTGCCTGGAGACCGCCAAGGTGGGCGCCAGCCACCGCCTGCTCAACTGCGACGACCACCAGAACTACATCTCTAGGAAGGGCCGCGACCCGGCGCACTACCGGCCGGACATCTGCCACCAGTCGCTGCTGGCCGTCCTGGACAGCCCCCTTAACAAGGCGGGGAAGGTGAAGGCGGTGTTCGTGCGCACGGAGAAGAACGTGCTGATTCGGGTTAGCCCCACCACCAGGGTGCCGCGGACGTTCAAGAGGTTTTCGGGCCTGATCTGCCAGCTGCTGTACAAGCTGAGCATCAGGGCCACCAACGGGCCGGACAAGCTGATGCGCCTGGTGAAGGGCCCGGTGACGAGGCACCTGCCGGCGAACTGCCAGGTGATCGGGCTGTCCAGGACGGCGCCGGCGGCGCAGAGGGCGTCCCAGTTGGTGGGGGCCCTTGAGGACGAGAGGCCGGTGGCCTTTGTGGTTGGGGGCTTCTCTCACGGGCAGATCGAGATTCAGTACGCCGATAGGGAGGTGTCCATCTCGGAGTACCCGCTCAGCGCGGCCTGCTGCATCGCGAAGCTCACGAGCGCCCTGGAGGAGAAATGGGGCATTGCCTGACCCTTCGTCTGTGCTTTTGTTGGCGCTTGTGCAAGGAAACAGAGTGGCTGCAGATGGTGCTGACAGTAGGTAGCGGTAGAGACAGGGAAGACTGGCAGTGGTGGCGGCATGTTGGGCTCCAGTGTTTTAAGATCCAGAATTGATATGCAGATTGGGAGCTATGTGCTGAGTCTTAAGCAGCATGGCAACCTTAGCAAGCTGCCCAAGTGCATTGGTCAAGCAAAGCGAGTGATGGTGATAATGCCAGCAGGTATGCAATGCATGAAGCATGTCCGCAGCTGCTTTGCTTCCTCTGTGTAGGCTTCCTCAGCAACAAGGGTACCACAGAACCAGATTCGGTGTTATCTCTTCGAACTTGTTGTTGGCGCTGTGTATGTGTTTCCCACTTTCTACAGGCAAAACTGGTGCAATAGACGACGATCACGGTATTGACACACCACAAGCGGTCATATGCACCACCTTTTCTCTTTGTCAGTGAAGCGACGGTGGAAATGCCAGGGTGAAGGCGAAACAATCGAATCCTGTTTACAGAATACGACATTGCAGGATGTATGTTGATGTAGCTGTGAGTGAATTGGTTAGGTGAAATGCGCAGTTCTCCAACCTTGTGTTCATACAGATAACAGCAGCGAACTCAGTATCCAGTTGGAGCCTTCTGTTGTGACATAAATCCTTGTGGAGGTATGATGAACCCACCGTTTCATGCTAGCGTAGCTGATTTTCTGTGATGCATGAACGATGATTGTGGCTGACCTCCATACCTGCCCAGCTTGAAAGCACAGCCAACACCATTGTCGTAGCTTGAACAGTTTGATCAAACGATCACAGGATTGCTCGAGTTTGACTAGCACATGGTGTGTTTGCGCTGGTGGCCAGGGGCCTTCATCAACAGCTTGCTACAGATCTGCAAGAGAGGCCCCTGCTTCTGGAGAGGTGGACAAAGTGAGAAATGCCTCAAAAGGGAATGGTATCGGCCCTAGTGTTTTGCTGAAGCTCATAAGGTCTTCGGCTATTGAGGACGTCCCTGAGTAGACTCTGGTTGCCATGCTTAGATGGCAACGCCATTGGCCTTGAGTTGTAAGCTAAGGCAATGTCCAAGTATATGCTGTACATAGCATACTGCAAAAGGCATCAAAAGATATGGAACATGTCCATGGAAGGCACTATTGTTTGGAGATATATGTTTATATGCGACCCTTGGTCGAAGTGCATATTCAAGGGTGCCATGCTGCAGTGGGTGCTGAGCTGCCAAGTGTGCGAATGCACACCTACGTGACCGCTGTGCCTTGGCAAAGTTCAGTGTGACCATGGATGGCAGGGTGGTGACTAGGGCAGATGATGCGTTGGTCCACTGTGTTAGCTGCCGGCCAATCAATCTGAAAGACTCTACCATGGCAGCCACCCTTGTCCAATAACCTCCATCAACCGGCAGCCTGCAGATTGCTGGGAATACCCTCAAAACCCTGCCGAGAGTGCAGGAATCTTGGAATGAAATGCTCCCCCGGGGGGGCTGATGGTACCACGTGATCGACTAACAAGTTTGATTCAGAACCGCTCAGCAGCGGTGCTTTGCCTGGCGCTCAATGGAAAGCGACCCTGACAAACTGTTCCTGGGTCGTCGTGGGCATGGTCCATTGTTGTGAGCTGGGGGTCAACAGCCTGCAAATCCACCCCCACGAATTACAACGCTCCTCGAACCTGTTTTCCAGGTCATGAACGCGACTTGCCACCTCGAAACATCAGCTGCGCAATGTGCAGTGCGCATGCCAACGTGCTGATGTTGGGGCGGCTGCCTGGCTGCACTGTTGGCCTTTTTTCCCGATTGGCATCCAGCGCCACCCAAATGCGGGTTTCCTGTTTCCGCTCGACGGCCTTATCCAGACGGCATGTGTCCATATGCTCATGCCTGCCGCCTCCAAAGAGCCTCGATGTCTTCATTTCCAGGAGCGGACCGTCCACAAGGGTCGCCACATTTGTGTTGTTTGGCGCATCGTTATTTTCTCCGCTTGCCTGCTTTCCTTTCCAAGTACCTCCGACGTGCTGCCTCCACTGCATTGTCGTCGTTGCGGCGAGCGGGAAGAGCTGGCTGCGGCAGCGCGCCATCTGCGCCGCCACTCGAGACGGCGGGCTTCGGACAGGCGCTGCCTGCCGGCTCGGACGCCCCTCCGCTCAGCCGTTTCACTTCGATGTTCCTCATCTTGGGCAGCAACGGCTGGACCCACTCATCGTCAACAGGACACACCTGCATGCACAGACCGAAACCTTTCAGACGTGCTGGATCGCCAAGCACGTCCCTTGCACAGCAACATGCAATCATGGAATTGAACATGGAATGTTGCATCACCATGGAAAGGCAAGTGCTGACTGCAGGGTTTCGGCTCATTAAACCTCCTTCACGAGGGCTGGCATCCGTCTGTTGTACACATGCAGCCACACGGACTCGTGCACAATGGTTGGCGCCATTCGCCGGCTGGTGCCCAACCTGTCTCAGGAAGGGCCTTGACAAGCCGAAGCACTCGTGGTACACTATCCACTCCGGCAGGAGGCCGTCGCTGTCCGCGCTGACCCGGGCGCTGGACGGGTGCAGTTGCGACAGCGGGGCTCCAGGCGCAAGGGGCCTGTACCCATTGTGCGCGGCCATTCTGTGCGCCAGCCTGCATCGCAAACGGCGCCAGATGGTTAGGAAGGGATCCCCGTCGAATGAAGGCGCGGAGCATCACCAGGGGTCCAAGCCTTGGGCACGCTCGGGAACGACCACCACTGCCCATTCGTTGCATTCTTCTGCATGGACAAATCACGGAAAGCAGCACTTACGCGATGAAAGGAAATGAGGGGTACCCAAGTGCCGCAACTTTCAACGCGACATCGCCCCGGGGTTGCATGCAGCACAAGGGAGTGCAGTCCATTCACAAACCCTTGCGCGCATCCGAAATCTGACCCTGAAATGTGCTTCTGAGATGTTGCTGGCGGGTGGTGGGCATACAGCGTGGAATTGGGCCTCTGTGGCGGCACGGCATTCACACGTTCGTGTCCAAAAAGACCACTGCGACCGTGCACCTCTGCGATGTACAATCCCAAGCTGGGACTACATTGGTGGCGATTGTGTGCTTCGAAAACCACGACCCCTCTCCGAGAACAGTACCTGTTTGCGAATCCAACGCAAACAGCCTTCCTCAAGGCAGACTGTGCATCCAACGAGCGGCCGCGTTCCTCGCAACTGTGCTCGTGGGGAGCGTCCGAGTGCCGCCCCCTCTTCTTGCTGCCTTTCTCAGATCTTCTCGTCTCGTCACGCCCGGCCACTCTGCGCCGCAGGTCCCGAACGTTGGCCTTAAGCTGTTTGTGAATGTCTCTGGCTCGCCTCATGGACCGAACGCTCAAGCCCCCACGCCTGCACCAGCCTGATGCCCAGGTAACCCCGTCAGCAACAGCCAACGCAAGTTTCGCGTCGCAGGCGCTGGACCACACGCAGACACTGCAGGGTCTGTCGAAAGGCGCAATGCAGTAATACAGTCACCGTGCGATGAATTCTGAGACACATTTAGCACGAGGATTTCACGAGCATGTTGGATGCTGTCGCAGGTAAGGAAGCAAGGTAATTTAAGGCGATGATGCAATGCAGAGACATGGCACCTGGTGCAAAGCCTGCTCTCTCCCATTCTTGGTAAATTCTTAGCAGTAGCACATGGTCACCAAGGCCCTCCCTGGCGAGTCTGGTCACTGCGTTGTCTTCCTGTTCGGACTTCCCTCTCGAACGACCAGCTGCGTCTCTGTCCGGGGGCCCTCCGGTATCTTCGAATATATTCTCGGCTGAGAGCATTGCGGCCACAATCACCATCTCATCCAGGCACCTGCATCATGGCACGTGCAAAACTGACTCGTGTAATCGTGCTCACAAGAAGCAGACAGGATTAAATGACAAGAAGCTTGGGCTTGACCATTGCGGGAAATGTTTATGCCTTCCTGAACAGTGGAATGTGCGAGTACTTCACACATCATAACATTTTTAAGTCCAGGTGCATATTTTCCTCTGTGCGCTGAGACGCAAGCACCTTTCAAGTCAGGACTCTCAGCATTCCCTTGATTTACGAAGTCAATTCATATTGTAGCCCATTTTCATTGTGGGTATTCATCGACAAAGAGGTCGCGAGGTGTTCATCAACGGACATTTCTGGTACATGCAGCAACTGCAGCTATTGTGCCTGTCCAGATACACATTTGCCAGACGACGTGGAGACAGCGATCCATTGTCTATGCCACCACCAACAACAACCCAACAACATCAACAACAACACCAACACCAACATGATATCCCACCTGCATTCCATTGACGCAATTAATGCACGAGCAAGGGAAGGTTCCACAGGCAATTGTGCCATCTGTTCTCCCAGGGTGGTTATCTTGCCATCGATGTCAATGGCCCCCAACACATAAAGTTGGCGAAGGGCATCTTCAAGCGCCTCCATCTAAAAAAGGGAATGTCCATGGTGTCAGACAGCCACAATCAGCCACACAGCTGGCCTCGATGCCTTTCAAATGTACTTTTGCCGCCCCATACACAAGGCTCCTCACAACAAATCAGCAAGCAGCAAAGACGGCATTCACAAACTGGTCTTTGCCAATCACTGATCAAGGCCATGACAACATGTGACAATGCGTTGTTCTTGCCCTATCAAGAAACTCTGCAAGCTTAGATATCACAATAACGTCTTTCAAGGATTCAGCAGATCTCAGGACAAGGCGCGAACGATCGGGTCCATCAAGATCGCCCTGACGACTCACCTTGGGGGCATCAAGGTAGTCGAACCTCAACACGTCGATAGCCAATGGCAGAGTCTTCAAATATAAGACGGCTGATGTGAGGGATGTGCGCTGGATTTCTGGAAGCGTTATGTCGGCCATCTCTTTGTCATGGAACTTTTTTGTATACAGCCTGTAGCACTAAGGTCAATGAGGGCAATATCAGCAAACAAGCACTGGCAGTGGGTTGAAATGGATGCCATGGAAGTTCCATGGGCACACCCAGCTACCCAAGTTCGCTCGGGTACCCTCGGGTACCTAAGTTCCAGAAACTCGGGGTACCCAGGTCCAGTTTTGCCAGCCCGGGTACCATCCCTACATGGAACTGCAACTTCCCGAAATAATTGCGCTTCCAGTGGCACTCTATCAACAATTCTGTGATTGCCAACAAGTACAAGCGGCTCGTTGCTGCCCCACTGAAAGCGTCCAGGAACACTGTGGCACAAATGTTTAGCATCCCTAATTTCAGTATATGCCGCAGAAGGTGAGTATGATAGAAGTGTTCTATTGGCTAGCCTTGGTTGCAGCTCGCAAGCAACCACGCAAAATGCAACCTTCGTTCAAAACCTTTGTGTTCAGTCCCTGGTGATAATCGACACAATAGGTGGCCATTCGTCCAACAACGAACAGCAGCATAACACGTTGCCAGTAGAATTCTTCCCCGTTCCCAATTTTTACCCATGGAGCAAGCATCCTTTGGGTACTTGTTCTTTTGATATCATGCAATGCTACCGGCTTCAAGCTGCTCTGCAGCAGTTTCCATTCTGGATCAGAATAAAGGGCACAGTGAGTGCTGCTATATGGTCTGAGTCATTTGTGACCAAAGGCTTCACCCCATCCAGGAAGGTGAGCAATACTGCCGCATGTTTTGAAGCAGTCACAATCATGCAGTGCACACAACGGTCGTTCTGCATGAGGATGATTCAAGTATACCTTGCCTGGCTGTGTTCTCCCTGCCCTCCCGGCCCTCTGCTTCGCCTGCACATGAGAGATGGTCACCACCTCCAGGGAGCCCATTCCTGTGAGGGGGTTGTAGGACTTCTGCTTTACAGTTCCCGGATCCACAACATACACCACATTGTTCACTGCATTGAAGCATGCGCAAATGAGCTCAAAAAAGGAATCAGGGGCTCAGAGATGTTGGATTCAAATTGATGTACGTGGAGAACATGCAGCAAATGATTTCCTGTACAAGAACGCAGGAACCAAATTTGCTATAAATTCAGCAAACTTTGGACTGAATGCTCGATTACATCCCAAACCATAAAAGCAAAGCTGAAGATTATGTATTGCGGTCAACGTTGACTGCCAAAAGTGAGTTGATTGTTTGCTCAATCAAAAATTATTGGCTAATCTATTTCCGCAACTGTTCCAAACAGTGGAGCAGTGGTGATAATGAAAGCTTCAGTTGGGCCATCACGATGGACAAGTCACAGCTCTCAAGCCTTCAAGAACGAACATACCTGTTATGGACGTCTCCGCGATGTTGGTCGCCACCACGCACCTCCTGCACCCTTCTGGGGTTGGAGAGAACACCAAGGACTGCTGCTCCATGGGCAGAGCAGCATAAAGAGGGAGGACCTGTAGCGCATCGCACGTGTCCTCAGGAAGATCTGCCACAGCTTTGTTGAGAAGTTCCACAGCTTTTTGGATCTCTGCCTGGCCAGTCAGGAATACAAGGATGTCACCTGCACACACCACCATGCCCGGCTATCTGAAGCCTTGTGAAGACAGTGAGAGTTTGGGGACGAGGCTCTCGTGTGGGGAGAGACCAATACAAAGATAATTCAGCCCCAAGGGCGTTTGCATGGCAGAGCCCAATCTTGGTACTTTCTTGTAGTGAGAAGGTCAGAATACGGCTACATGGAAGGGCGGTATTGGCATTGTAGATATGCAACTACACAATTACCTACATGACCACTTCGAACTGCCAGTTTCACTCAGGATGAACATGGAATACAAGTTGCCAGTCTGGCACAAATCACTGGTGACAGGGTTGAGGCACATGCAGTGCCTTGACTCTGGTTCATCATTGCAACTACTTGCAATTTTGAACCACAGCATTCGTCCATACAGATCTGCCACATGTTTTGCAGCGCATCTCTGCAGGTTCAAATTCCTATATTGCTACAAGCTCCAGCATGCAAACAATGGATAAATAGTGATACTTGATAAGTTCAGCTGCGTCGATGATCAAAGCAGCAATTATGAGCAGCAGAGTGCCGGAGAAACGGACAGAGTGTTCTTGGCAATACCAAACACCAGGGGATAATGACCCATAGCATACATCCTTTGAATATCTTCAGTGAATGCAACAGAAGCACAGCATTGCACCTGCAAGGCACAACGGTTGTGCACAGTTGTCCGCACCACGATCTCCATAAATGCCCTGGTCCACAAGTTTTCGATCATAACTGGCAAGATGTAAGGTACCTGGAGGTTGGTTGACATGAAGATCCAGCACAACATCCATAGCTGCCTGCATGTAATTGCTGACATGGTCTTCCATTGTGTGGATGATCTCCACCGGAAAGCAGACTCCAGGCACATTTAAGATGGGGCAATTCATAAAATACTCAGAGAATTTTTTCCCATCCAAAGTTGCCGATGTGATGAGCAACTTTAATGCCTGTTTCCTGAGCAAGTGCAAAAGACAAAAGCCCGTGGTAAGCAGTTAGACTCCCAGATGGCAACGCCTCCAGTAAGGGTCAAAACACCAAACGCCAGCTTGCACAGGGGAAACAGAGTGATACAAGACCAACGCGGGCAAGCACTCCAATCAACTCTGTCCCTGAACCACCTACCAATCCAACCGCAAGCCAAAACCATGACCACTGTGCCGGTGATGAAAGCACTGTCAGCGAACAAAAACACCGCCCGCCATACCTACTGTTCACAAGGGATTTCAGAACACCAAACAGGATGTCTGTGTTCAAACTCCTCTCATGTGCTTCATCGAGCATGACAACCTGATAAGCAGAAGAAAATTCCTGATGCAATCAGCCAGCAAACAAAAGAAATCATCCTGTGAAGATAACTTACTGTGGGGCTCAGACTGTCCAATGGTATGTTCTGCAAATGTTTGACCATGCCTTATAAGTTTAACAGGTTTTCACAATAGTGTATGATCCTCATTTGCGCTTACCGAATATTGGCTAAGCTCTGTATCTGCGAGACACTCCCGAAGCAGCAATCCATCTGCACGTGGGCAAACATAATTTCTTGTCAACGCAAAGGCAAACACTACTGAGGCTGCAGAAATAGTGCTGGCTGGAGAATTGCTGATGATAGTGCATCCGAATGGAACAAAAAAAATCGCAAATTTTTCACCCCTTGTGAGAGAGCAAATTCCACAAAGGGCTGTGTTAAAACTGAGATGCTAAACAGCTGACCAGGCAAAGCAGAAGTCACAATTGCTATCACCCTGAGCTGCACAGACAGAGAGATAATTCATGCAGACAACATCCAAAGCCTTGAAGAGCATCAATCACACAAGCACAGGCAGTGCCTGCACAAGGTTCCGTTCAGTCAGTTTGAACTGTCTTTGTACCTGTCACATACTTGATCACTGTTTTAGATGAAGTATCTTCTTCGAATCTCACTGCATATCCAACCTCCGCTCCCAGTCGAACGCCCATTTCCTCTGACACTCGCCTTGCCGCACTTATAGCAGCCTGGAAGGCACAATACCCACAATTGCCCAGTCCATCACACAATGCAACCACAAGATTTCGTCTGCCAGGATATGGAACGAGAGACAAATAAGACGTCAATGCTGTCACCAATACCGTGTGTTCATTTGCACCTGCTCACCAATGCGTGCAGCATGGCAGCCCATTGTCTCCATCACAGTGCACCATGCTCAATGCAATCATGGAAAATCAGTTGGCAGTATCAATAAATCCAACTGACGCTAAGCATCGGTAGATAGGTCATTCCAAAATAGACCCCACCAATGGCGTTTGGACTTGAAGTGCATGATGGACTGTCTGACCATGAACGCAACCTTGGTTTTGATGGCCGGACAGTTGGAGCCGGCAAACCACACTTGCAACATGTGGCACGCTTGGTACAAAAGATGTCAAGTATCACAACGCCGTGAACACCCACAGCACTTTGCTGAAACAGCATCCTTGATGCAATGCGAAACATGCTTGCTATTTGCACATACCAGATTCGCTGTTAAGCAGTTACTAAAATTCATGCAAACTCCTTCGCTTGAAAAACACCAAAACAAGCTACCAGTGTACACAGCGTCACTCTGGGAACAAGATACCCCTACATTTGGCCCAGCCGATACCTGCAACACATCTCATCCACACTGGATCTAAGGAGCCAGTGCAGAAGCACGTCGAGATGAATTAGAAATTCAACGCACCAGTCGCCTCGGTTGAGTAACAACGATCTTGCCATCGTCGCCGTACCCCGCCTTCGCCAATATCTAAACCAGCCCACAAGTTGATTCAGCAAGACTCCCGCGCATGTCTGCAACTCAGCCGGTCGGTAGCTCCCATCAAAGCTCCGATCAGGAAAACATGGGAGCACAGCATCGGCCACCCACAGGGCGCATCAGCGCCGGCGTTTTCGTTGCCGTCCCACCTGGGGGATCTGAGTCGTCTTTCCCGAGCCGGCGTCCCCGATCACCACCACGACGGAGCTGCCGCGGACGGCTTCCAAAATTTCCTTGGCGTGGGCGCGGATCGGCAGGGACGCGGGGTCCATGTCTCCATCCCCCGCGCGGGCGCAGGTCTGCTCAGTCGCGTACCCGGTTCAAGTGTGAGCTGGGCTGACGCTGGTGCGCTGTTTTAGCATACGGTTCTTGTACAGCAGGAGCCGGCGACGGCATAAAACTACTCCCCGTTCTTGTTTGCTGAGATTCGGTTCTTGTTTTCGGACACCCTAAGCCCCAACTACTGATCCACACACCGGGACTGGCCTTGTCAGTGGAACAAGAACCGAATCTCAGCAAACAAGAACAGGGAGTAATATATTGAATATATGTGCTTGTGGCGGGCTGCATTCCGAACTGCTTACAGGGCGCGTTCCTAGGAGTGTGGTAGATGTCAATGTGGAACATGTTTTTCAGTGCTACAAGACATACGGTCTTGAACACTATCAATTTCTACGATTTGCTTGGAAATCGAGATGTTGCGCACTAATTGTGGTATTTGCGCACTAACGACATTTTGCACGAAAGGGTGTTATTCTCGCCGGCGACAGGCCACGACCCTATCTTCCGATTACCCCTATTGCGGAATCTGAATGGGATCTTATATTATAAGCCGGCAACGCGGCCAAGAGCCCCAGGAAATGAATTTCTTAGAGTCTGACTCAGCGTTCTTGTGTAAGAATCGACCCCTGTGACATGGGGCCTATGTGAGTGGCGGGGCTCTCCAAGTCGGGTGCTGTGGGCACGCGCCCCCCCGCGGTGGGCCGGTGGCTGCGATCGAAGGCGGCCAACAGGAGGCGCACGGCTATCGGTTCCACAGCTGCGGCGCTCCGTGCGTCCTTGCGCTCGAGGCGCACGTTTCCCGGCAACTAGAAAGCCCTCAATTGCGTATGGTGAGACATGGATTGTGCCGAAACCACAGGGTATAAAATACGGTTGTTTGTCCTGGACAACTGTTTTTGACAATGGAGTGCGGACTGCGGCGACGCCGAGTACCACGAGCGGCGTAACCCACGGTGTTCCCGTCCTTGCTGGGTCCAAACAGTTTACATTAGAAACTGAGCACACCAGCACCATCATGCCTTGAGAATCAGGGCATGATCTTACAGCTGACCCGTTACTGCACTTGTCACGACACAGTAGCTGAGGGCCCTGCGTTTGCTTGCACTGGGATCTCTACAATATCCGGGGGTCAATCAAGCCTGCCAGCAAGGCCTGCAGGTCCTTCCGCTCCAGCTGCGGTGATCTACAGTGAGACTTGAAGAGCCTGACGCTCAAACAAGAGTGAGCGATATGCCAGGCTTAGTGCAGCGACCGCCGATGACCCGAAAATGGTGGGCGCTCTGGCAACAGCCGCTTGATGGGGATATTCTGGCTGCACGTGCGCCTCGTCGCCGCATAGACATGAAAGAGCCTGTGGCCATGCACTGATTTAGGAAAGAAACCACATGGCGCCGCCATGTTGGAGGCAATACGCTTTTTCGCAGTTTGAATAGGCTGGAATGTGGTGCACAGCAGCCCAGCAGTGCTGAACACTCCCCGCTGGGAATGAACTCCATTTGGGCTTGAACACATGCTGCTGACCCATTGCAGCTTTCGAATGAAGCGCACTGTTGTTTACTGTGCTGGGACGATAGCAGACCAGCACAATGGGTACCCCTGTGCTGGGGAACCTGTGCCACATGTGGTAAGTGCACGACCAGAAAATTCTGAACCGTGCATCAAACCTTCTTGTGCCTCGATGTCTGTCAGAACTTCTTCCAGAAGAAGGTACCTACAGACGTCGTGGGGGCACGATAAGGATTCCGCTACTTTTGAGATCACCTTCTTTTGATCTCCTTTTCCAACGGTCCTGTGCCTTCTCCCATGTATGCACCCATCGGGCGTCCACGAGGAGCCGGGCTCCCCGATATCGTGTCTGCTGGTGCGATGATTGATTTGAAATGGGGCTGTCCTCCATTACTCCGGTCGATCGTAAATCCAGGTTCCGCCTGGGCATCGCAGGTTGCGGGAAGCGGGCAACCCACCGCCAGGCGTCAATACCGAGGCAATTGCCCCGGGGCAGATTCCCACAAACGGGGCGATGCCGTTGCCTTGTTGGGACGGTCGAAGCCTGCCCTCCCGTACTGGCGCCTCAAGCCTTGGGGGCGCAAGCGTCCAACGGCGGGCGCAGCGTCCCTGGAAGATCCAACTCAGCGCTGTCCGGCAGGCCGCGACGCGTCATGGGTTGTGGGAACACGAAGCTTGCCGAGGTACGCGGCGAATCGTGTGCGTGACCGTGCGGTGACCGTCGCAGCTTTCCAATTGATGCCACTCAGGTTTGCGTGAAGGGGCGTGTGCCTGGGCGTGACGGCGGATTGCTGTGGCGTTCTATTGACCAGGGCGCCGCGGCGCAGGCTGTGGATTTGAAAGACACCCCGCAGCCGACGCCTGTCAAATCTGCTGAGCCGGTGGTGGCGAAGCCTCAGGAGGTGAGACCATCTAACGCCTCTCGCACCCCACAAACCTCAGCCAAACCCCGGAGCGCGCTTCGATTGTCCCGAGGGCCAGAAATCGAGCGAAGGTCCTCCTAAGGCTTGGCCAGCGTGCGGGCTGGCTGAGTGCTGTGAAGTCCTGCGTCATGGTAGAGCCGAGGCCTGCGCCAAACCCTGTTCCCTTGAAGTGATGTTGGACTAGCCGTGCAACATTTCTGAAGATGGGGCAATCGTTGACGAATGCCGCTGGGTTGCCGCATTGGAGCTTCGTAGGTCAGAATGATGGAAACCGTGTTGCACTGCGCTGTTTGGAGGGCGCTGCGCACGCAGTGGCCTCGTCCTGATCTGAGAACCGGCTTCTGCTTTCGTGGAGGCAGTCGCCGACTAATGCTGCACATGGCATGCCGCGATCCCCATCATCCAGATGGTTGCGGTGGGTCGGCGCATGTAGAGACACCACAGGTTCCTATGGGTGCTGCAGCACTTTACGTTCAGTCGCCTCGCCGTGCTCTACCCAGAGGGAAGTGTCCCTGTTCACCGCACAGCCAACAAACTCGGCTCGCAAGCCGATCGATGGCCCATCCACGAGCTGTCGGTAGCCGATGCTTCAAGCCACCGCCCACAGCTGCGAGCTGAGAGCGTGGTTCGTGGAACGTGAAGTTGATCCCTGCGGCATAGGCCCCCCGGCTTCCTGGCCTGTGGTCGAAAGCAGAGTTGATGTTGGCATTGTGTTGTCGAAAGTGCCACCGCTGGCTTCCCTGGAAGATTGAGAATCAATTTCCGAGTTCCACGGCGATGGTCTCCGTACACACAGGCCTGTTATTTACATTTACGTTTACCTTTATTTTTACGTTTACGTTTTTACGCATACAAACGTTAATTTGTAAAGGGGCTATTTTCACGGCTGTATTTACGTTTTTACGGCTCGTTGCGACACCGAGGTAGCACGATAAAAATCGTGCACAATGGTCAGTCCTCCACCTCCTCGAGCACCCGCAACACAGTGTCGACTTCGCATTTGGTAAGGGCCACGACAGCGTGCAACAAAAGTTCGTTTTCTGCCCATTACAGCGCGCCTGGCTGCTACTCCCCGGATACCCGAAGGCTGTATGTACTGTCCTTATGTACAAGGAGCTGTATTTACATTGTATTTACGTATTTTTACGCGTAAAAACATAAAAACTATTTTGTGCATAGAATGTAAATACGATCTGTGTTTACGGCGTAAATAACAAGCCTGCGTACACACTTTAAATCCATAGCGTTCTGGCCGAAATAGAGAGTTTCAGACCGCATTTGTGTGGCAATTGTTTCCAGCACCTGAGGCGGGAACATTCGCATGCAGAAGGACCAGCAAAATCGCCATCAAAGAAATGATTAACAGGGCGAGGCACGCTATCTCATTGCGAAGTCCTTGGCTGCAACCAAGGCTGGTCGCCAATTGGGAATGGACTGTGCAGAGGCGTTGACAGCCCAGGGGCTTCAATTCCAATTGGGCACTGAAAAAGTTGTATGAACGGCTTTAAAGCCCTCGCCAGCTCAACACGAGCGATTCTTTCAGACTTTGAAGTGTGTTGCTCCACACCCTTCAAAAGTAAGCATGCTTGCCCGGATGACCAGTTGTACCCAGCTTCGGTGGGACGCGTTGCTACATTCTGGTGTGTAAGGGACAGGTTTTAATCACAATTCTCAATGAGATATCTCATTGAGAAACATCACGCCACCACCACCGATGGTCGCTTATGCTGCCAATCGATGGATTAGCTCGCGAGGGGTCATGCCAGTGGGAACATGAAAATAGCCCACACTCATTTCCGATCTGCGCCACAGCTGTCGATCATTCATAGCGATCACACAAATAGAAAATCAAATGCCTCTAATCAGGATTTGACCAGGTTTTTGATTCAATGGGACAGCCAGTATGAGACAGGCTCAGCACGTCGCCGTGTGGTCTGGTAGAAATTGCGAATTGCTTTGGATAAAGCATGTCGCAGCGACTGGGGATTCGGCGTTATTTCCTGCACAGAGTTTGTGGCTTTCTTTGCCAGGGACGAGGCAAAATCTCCTGAACAGTGCTGACGCTTCAGATTATTTTTGTTTCACTGAGCAGAGGTGCATGGCATCAGCTGGGTGTACCACTTTGAGCGTCACACATAACATCACACCGCTACTGCAGCAAAGGCAAACAAGGAGGAGGGAGGGCGTCTTGGATCTAGAACTGTTGTCTGCCTGTGCTGCACTTCGTAGAGTTTATTGATCAAGAGGTTTCTTCTCAGTTTGGAAGAAAATGAGGTGCTTCGTGGGCTTGAAAGTGGAAGCTGCTGCGCTTCAGTGCAACTCAAATTATTCAGCTCTGAACGCCTGATATAGTCAAGTATGGCATGGTGGCTGCGTGCTCACGGCACCACACTCAACAAATGTAGACGAAAACCCATTTAAGCAGCTCGGCGCCCTCTTGCACACGCAATTTTACTGTTTTTCCTGCGATGGACAGGCATCAGCGGAAAATAATATCACACACCATTTAAACACACTTGGCAGCAACTGGTCCACCCCTGACCGAGTTGTGGGATTCACAATGTTTTTGAGCCTAAAAGATCCGTATATGCTAGCAACATTTCAACATCCAGATGGGCCCCATAACCTAAGCTGCGTCGGTGCCCTGAAATTCATCTCAAAAACCTAATCATGATCTTTATGCGTGAATATGTTCTCCCAGATTGGATCGTCTCCTTTATACTTCTCTGAGCATTCTCTGATTGCATCATAACTAGAGATTGTGCCATATGCAGAACAAATCGACTCCAAAGGCACCCACGGCTGTGTCCAGGTCAGAGTTACCAGAAAATGTAAAGCTGTTTTTCATTCTCGGTGGACCTGGAAGCGGCAAGAGCACAATTTGCGCCAAACTGGCTGGCAAGTATGCTTGCGCCCACATATCTGCCGAGGAGCTATTGGATGGTGAGGTCAAGAGCGGGACATCTCTTGGAGAACGATGCGAGAAGTTAATGAAGAACGGCGAAATTGTTCCTATGGAAATTACCCTGTCGCTCATTAGAAAGGCGATCTTCATGAGCAGCTGCAAAGACTTCCTAATTGACGGCATCCCCATGTCGGTACACCAAGCGGAATCCCTGGAAAATGAAATCAAGGAATGCTTCAAAGTTGTCTTTTTGGATTGCCCAAGTGACGTTCTCGAGGCAAGGAGCCTTAGCAGTGGGACCATGGGCGACCGCACCGAAGGAAGGGACGAGGATTTGCGGAAACGAATTGAAATTTTTTCCAGCGCGGCCATGCCTTTGGTGGAGCATTACAAAGGGATAGGGAAATGCCTCACAGTCGCAGCGGACGCGGATACTGACGCCGTCTTTCAGCGTGTGGAGGAGGCCATCGGTGAACACCTGAAAGAGACTGCCAGCCACGCAACAAAGGCAGAAACACCACAGGAAGCTGCTGCGGCTGCCGAAGCCACAGTCGGGCGTGCCTGCGAACAACTGGCGGGTGAGGCAGCTGCTCCAGCAGTAGGTAACGCAGCTGTCGAAGCAGCAAATAAGAATGGCGATGCGGGCTCCAAGGTGCCCGAATCCATTAACCAAGAGGCTGTTGCTGAAGTGCCCGCTGCATATGGAGAGGAGGAGCCCTTGGAGAAGCCAGTTGATACGCCATCTGTGCAGTTACTGCCGCAGCCGCAGTCCCCTGAAGGGAAATTCGTGGTGTTAGAATGTGCTGGCGGCAGCGACAAAGGCGAGGACGGCCACAGAAAGGACACCATACATATTTGCAATGCCCTCATCACCAAGGGGTGGGAAGCCAGGCCTGTGTTTTATACCGATGCTGTATGGGATCAGTTGCTCGAGGAAGCATCCCAGTGCAGCGGTTGCATTTATCGTGTTGTCCCTGGCAAGTACGATGGAGTGACGCAGAGCAGGCTGGATGAGTTGCTGGAAAAATTAGGGGAGAAGGGTGTAGTGGCCATGCCCAACCCAGAAGCTATGAAGACAATGATGTCCAAAGACGCACTCGTTAAGATCCGCGAATTGGCATGTGGTCTTGCAGACACTGTGGCGTACTACGACGTAAAAAGCTTCAAAGAAAATTTCCCCAAAACCATATCTGCTTCTACTCGGGTACTGAAACACAACAGAGGTTTCGAGGGAGAGGGGACCTGGGTCTGCAAGGTGAAAGAAGGACAATCTGGAGACGTCACAGGATTAACTATTATTGAGGTCCAAAGTACTGTGGGCAAAAACAAAGAGGAGCGCACGGTGGACGATTTCATGGCATTCTGCGAGCAGTACCTCGAAGGCAGCAACGGTCACATCGTTGATCAAAAATGCCCGCCAACAATATCGGAAGGGGTGATCCGCCTCACCATGATACACAACGTCGCCTCAGGGATTTCCTGCAGGAAGGCCTTGGACGGCGACAGTTCCATTACCACGTCGGCACCGACGCGGAGGTCCGTCACGTACCAGGTGGATGAGCCAGAATTTGCTGGCCTCATGATCGACTTCGTCGGCACGGACGTCCCCGATCTCATGCCCGCCCTCGGCATGGACGGCGATCGCCTTCCTCTCCTGTGGGCCGCAGACTTCGTGCTGGGAGACAAAAAGGTCGACGGTACGGACACGTATATCATCAGCAAGCTCAGTTGTTGCTGCGTGGACATCACGGAACACCTGCACCTTGCCGGGCCGGTTGCCGATGCTGCAATCGCTCTGTGCAAATCGGTGTCAAGCCAAGGATCGGCAGCGCAGTCTGCTGAAAGCGCACCAGCGCTCGCTGCAGAAGTACCTGCCCAGGCTGGGGTAGAGGGTGCTGCTTATACGGGCTCAGGAACACCCGACCCAGCAGTCCCCAACGCAATCGATGCACCCCCCGCTGCAGAAGAGGCGCACGTGCAGCTGCTGCCTCAGCCATCCTCGCCCAAAGGAAAATTCGTGATCTTGGAGTGCGCTGGCGGCAGGGACAAATGCAAAGGTGGCCACAGAGTGGACACCATCACGATTTGCAACGCTCTCATCGGCAAGGGTTGGGAAAGCAAACCAATGTCTTACGCCGATGCCGAATGGGACCAAGTATTCGAGTATGCGTCCCAGTGCCAAGGGGTCATTTCCCGTGTCGGACCAGGTAAGCACGATGGCGTGACGCACAGCAAGCTGGACGACCTGCTGGAGCGGCTGACGGAGAAGGGTGGTGGCTCCAAGACGCCTCGCTCAGCCACCTGTCCACCAGTCTGCCGGACACTGTGGCGTACAGCGATGCAGCCAGTTTCAGAGAAAACTTCCCCAGGACGATCGCTGCTTCGGCGCGGGTGCTGAAACCGACGCGAGGCTCGCACGGAGATGGGGTCTGGGTTTGCAAGTTGAAGGAGGAGCGATCGGGTGACGTCACGGGCTCAACCCTCCTGGTGGTGCAGGAAGCCGTGGACAATCACAAGGAGGAACGCGCACTGGGCGACTTCATGACCTTTTGTGAGCAGTACCTTGAGGGCAATGGCTGCGGACTCGTCGATCAGAGATTCCTGCCAAGGGTCACAGAGGGCGAGTTGAGCGTCAGCATTGTGCACGACAAGCCGGTTGAAATTGTCCACAAGAAGCCAGTCGACGGTGGGGTCTCCGCCACCGTGGGAGCCGGGGCCAGCTGCGTTTCCTATCCGCCGGACGACGCTCAGTTTGCTCCTCTCATGCATGCCTTCGTCAGCGAGGACCTGCCCAGGATCATGCCCGCGCTGGGGATGGACGGGGAACCCCTTCCACTCGTGTGGGAAGCGGAATTCATTCTGGGAGACAAGCAGGATGATGGAACCGATGCTTACTTTCTTGGGGAGCTAAACTGTTCTTGCGTTGGGGTCACCAATCAGAGGCATGTGGCAGATGCAATGTCGCAGGCAGCCATCGATGCTGTATCCAAGCAATAGGCAGACAAGAAGGGGCCTGTCGGGTGTGGGCTTGAGAGCGTCCTCTTTCGCCTCGACTGCAGGATGGCGGGGGTTCATATCTTTGTTGTAATGCTTCGGGTTTTTGTTAGAGCTCTTCATTTGGATGAGGGGGGTCATCGTTCCAAATTGTCTTTTGGGGGAAGGGGGTTAGTATCGGTTGTTGCCTATACGCGAGAAGGACAAAGCGACGCTGACGTCAACTGGTTTTGTTGCATTGTGACGCCGTTCTCAATCCGACAGTCAATCCATGTCGACACTCGCTGGGGGAATGGTGCCGAATTCTGGATGCTGAAGATAATCGCTCGAGTGTCAATTCATGAGGCTGAGTCCCCCCCAAAACCTGACATGGTGATTTGTGGAGTTCATCTCATCGAATGTGCCCCCCAGCAGCGGCTACTGCGGAAGCATATGATCAGAAGCATCGTACCATTATTGGTGCCCCCCCGCGTTGTTCTGTTGGCAGGAACATGGGAACTGCAGCCTTGGTGGCTAGTAAGCCGGGCGTGGCACTCTACCCTTCCCAAGAAGGAGAAAGGGCCTTCCTTCGCAATTGTATTGCAACTGTCAATGGATCCCTGCACATGAAACATTGGCACATTAGCAGCGTTTCTGCATAAGCCAAAACTCAACCCTATTCCTCCTCCACCTTCGGCATCCGCTGAGCGGTTTTCACTGCGTCCTGCAACTCAACGGGGAAGCGGCGTCCAACGAATGAGTGGGCTGAAAAGATAGTGCCACTGTGTGGCGACATGATGCTGAGCGGATTGACACACCAGCGTAAGGGCCACAGCAATCGTGTCCTATCACAGGACTGGGGGTGCAGCTAGATAACAGCCATTGACAAGGACCTTCAAGGATACCATTCGCGCTAAAGCACTGCAAGGGCTACTGTTGGTAGTGTTGATAAAATATTGGACCAGTTGTGTTCGCACTTGGAAGGACGGACTGGGATGGCAGTATCCATGTCCACAGCATTCAATGCACATGCAGGGCACATGCAGTGTGGCTTGCATTGCAAGCCGCCCTGCAACATGCCATTTGCATGGACGCCTGTGGCCTACAGTCGCTCGACTACGTGACAGCGGCATTCAACTTTGCTGCAAGAACTGCATTATTCCACCAGGGAACTCTGGTATTTCCCACGCACGGACACACATCTTACTGCTGCGATCCACAACCGATTGAACAAGAACAATGAGAGTGAAAGTGCTAGTATTGCAAGCATTAGATTTGAAAAGGATAGCCCTTTAACTGGTCACAATTCTGCAACTCTGGTAGTCTCCTGCTCTAGGGACAGGCTGACCGCATGCACCTTCTACATCCAGGTGTCCAGTTGGTCAACCAGACCCTGCCTCCCAGGCCTATGTCAGCACACACACCTGCACCCATGACACCTGAACGAAGCTGTCGACCTGGTCTATGGTGACCTCTATCAACTGGACGAAGCATGCATGAGGAAGAACTCAACTCCATCGAGTAACAGCATGGTGAGTTCTTCGATTACCTTCAATAGTATGGGACACTGCTCAGCAGATAGGCTGCAACGAAAGAGATGTGGTTTACAAATGTTCACCACCTGCATAAACAATTGCTGCCTGCACATGTGTGCTTGAAGACAGCATGTTGATTACCACAGCAATGCACCGATTTTTGGTACAGAGCCCAAAAGGGGCCTCCACTGTGCTGTGAGGACTTTGCATCAAGTTGATTAGCAAATGTTTGCCAGATTGTGACACATTCCAGAAAGAATTTCCACAAAATTCGCCAATCAAATGGATGTACTCTGCATGTTGAAAGAATATCCTCACAGCTCACTGTGAATTGACATCCTGGGATGTCAGGCAGTGTCGTGTTGTGCACTACGACACAGTCAACTTGTTTGACAATCAATGCAAGACAACCAGTGCAGCATCCGTCGTGGGCATCGTGTCGATTCCAGCAGATCGACGTCAATGAAATGGCACTTGTCATACATTAATCGTCCTGTTTGATTCAGAGCTGTTGCTGAATCAGCAGAAAGTTGACGTTAGTTTCCAAGCCATGAGAGGATGGAGGATGGGGGGCCTGGACGCCAAGCCGACAGGGCGCGATCACGCGACTGGCTTCGGCCGCGACTGGGGCGGCAGCGGTCGGCTCAGAAGCTGACAGGCGGCCGCCTCTCTGTCGCCCCTTCGATCCCACCCATGCGGCCCGCACCGTCAAGCACCCCCATGCAGCCGTACACCACCCACGCCCCCGAATGACGCGGGGCGCACTCGAGAACACCATTCGCCATTTACACGCCCAATTCGCCCATTCAACCGCCCCCCGGCTCGCCCAATTTCCGCAGCTGCTTCGCGGCGCATTTGACACTCGGGGTGGCAGCCGTCCCACCGCCCTCGGCCAAGTCTCCGCACGGCACCCCGTGGGCGCCAAACCGTCCCCACTCGCCCGAAGCCCGCCCTGGCCGTCCGGGATCGCCGCCCGTCCTCCTTGCCGCCCGTGCGCCCTAGGCGGCATGGTCTACGGCAGGAACAGCGTGGGCGGCAGGAGCCGCAGGGGCGGCCAGCGCGGGGGCCGCGGCGGCCGCGGCGGCCGATCCGGATTCCGCCAGAAGGCCGGACAGGGCCAGGGCGCTTTCCGGTCGGGCGGCGTCTCCAAGCCGACATCCGGGGGCAGGGCCCGGGGCGGAAAGAGGGGAATGAGGGGGAGGGGCAGGGGCAGGGGCAGGGGAAGGGGCGGCAGGGGGCGGGGCAGCAGGGCGCTGAAGTCCAAGGAAGACCTGGACAAGGAGATGGACGAGTATTTCATGTGCAACAGCGAGCAGGCGGCCAAGAAGCTGGACAGGGACCTGGACGAGTACTTCTCGATGAAGAAGGAGGTGGAGGAGGGCGGGGACGCGGAGATGGGAGCCGGGGAGGAGGGGGGGAAGCAGAACGGGGAGCAGCCGGCGGCCAAGGGGCAGTGAGGGGTCGGGGAATGGGGTGTCCGTTGCTGATGGCGATGCTGTGAACGTTGATCCCGGCGTCGTTTCCTCCGCGGTAGCTTTGGGGTGATGGGATGGCGTGCGTGGAGGCGACGGCGGTTTGATGCAGGGCTGAGAAGCGTGGGAGACGGGGTCGCCGAGGCTGCCTGGGTTCTGTCAGCGATCGAGTGCAGAGAGGGGAGAAGCCATCGTGGGCCGGGCTCCCGAAGTGGCCAAGGTGTGCCGTTGCTGATGGGTGCTGTGTTGCACTTGATGTGCTGCCACTGGCTGCCAGGTGGACGCTGCAGGTCGAGCGGGCTGCGCGATGAGGACTGTTGGGTTATCTCTGTAAGAGTTTGCTGCTGGCCTGTGCACAAGACACATGGAGAAAGGACTTGATGTAATGCTGTGATGCTGGCATGGTGTGTAGCTGCTGCACCCCAAGGGTTCCCTGATGATTGCCTCCAATGAGGGCATTCTCATGGGCCAGGCGAGAAGGATGGGCAGTGGGCAAGGAAACAAATGCGATTTGGTTCACGGGCACATGCGTTTTGTTATTTGTGGCATGTCGCATGGAAGGGTATGTCGCTGTGCTTCCACATTTGTGCAAACTTGGTACAACGGTTTTGCATGAACTTGAGCGAGAAAGGTGGTTGCAAACTCTTTTGACGCAATTCGTTCTGTTCGATTGCAATTTAATGGGCGAATGTTTTTTGTTGTATTCCAAGCGCAGTGCATGCTGTAACGGCAGAAGGGGACACAGGTCCATAACATGAATATGCACTGGCATCTGTTCAAGAATCCAACTGGGCAACGAAATTTGTCTGCCCGTGCCATTTGCACTGTCACATTGCATAGCAGGTTCTCTTTGCCATAAGGCTGGCTCCTGTGTTCGCTGTGCAGTTGTATGGCAGGAGTCCTAATCAGCTGTGATGTTGCACAAGCACATGGTCCTCAGAAGGGGTGAGAGAACGGGAATTGACTCTGACCAGTATGTTGACAGGAAAGCAAGGAGAAGGGGTGTGCGATGCCATGACTTCACAAAACTCTGCCAATGCCTGCAAATCCACTTGGTTTCACTTGTCACATACACAGATATGACTCAAGCCCATCCCTTGCGTTCTCCTGTGTATTGAGAATGCGAGCACGCCCAAGTTGAAGGTTTGCCTGTTATCATTTCGCTCATGCAGAGGCTATTTCTGGCATAACAGGTTTCTCGCAAAGGTTTGCTGTGGTCGAGGATGCCAGCAAATGCTGGTGTTCAAATGTGAAAACAAGAACGTTTTGCAGTCGTCAGCATTTGAGTTTCGGAAACCCAAACGTCTTGCACACTCACATTTTCGAAGCATGAAAGAATTGTGGACCTCATGTTTACATGTGGGCGGCGACTTCCCACATCTGCTCCGTACACACGGAGTATTGTAACCCGCCCAGCCTCTTCAGACACATGAGGCTGATTGGGAGAAATGCGGCTGTCAGGCTCTGAACGTCACACTATCCTCGCTCCTGAAACAAAGATCCTCTTCTGCGTCCTTGACCATCAGCTGGACGGGGTTAAAGCTTGGGCAGGAAAACAAAATAGCCCTGGTGACCAAGAAAGTCAAAATTGTTCGGATAGTAGCCATTCTGGAACAGCGAGATTTCACTACACACATTCACCGTGCTCCCGCGCGCAGGCAAAAGAACTTTGTGTTGTGCAAACACCCTTCCAACGCTATTCTGTGCACGCGGCCACTCCACAGTTCGAATCAAACGGTACGCCCCAAATTGCCCTCTTCTGCTCAACGCGTACCACCCTACACCACCTTCAAAAACTTGCTTCCTTTCTTGTGTGTCTTGCCATTCTCGTTGTCAGTAGTTCGTGGCAGTCTTTCTGTGATGTACAGCGCTCAGTGCCTTGTCGTCCTGCACCTTCCCACCGTCCACTGTGGCGTAAACAATCCAATGGTCGCCGGCTTCCATGCGTTGCGCCACCGTACACTCCAGGTATGCAGCCGCGTCTGGCAGAATTACGCAGCCTGTCTTTTCGCTTTCCTGTCCAGGGAACAAGACATCACAAACAAAATCAAAGACGCCAGTAGCACCTGGCAATGGCACTACCCTCCTACATACCTGCCTACATCAACAAGCAATGGGCGCGGTGCATTCCACTGCAGTAAACGACGACAACATGGTTCAATCGGGCAGATGAGCATCAATAGGCCACCGCATGGGCCCACACGAGTGGGGTGTGGGGTCCGATTGCTCCTAGTGTGAAATCTGGAAACAGCCGATACCGTGGATACTTGCAATGCCCACAGAACAACGCCAGAACGGCGTGTTCAAAGTTCAGACGTTCACGAGGTCTGACGAGAAACACCCCCTGTATCCCCACCTTTGTTTCCATCCCTTCAAATCGATCCTGACCAGGCTTGAAGGGCTTCAGCATTTGCTTCATGGGCCCCTTTTCCTTCCCCTCTGCCAGAATGTTTACAACGAATCTGTTGCCATTGGTGAGGAAATTCTCCAGGGCACGATCTTTCTTTGCAGCAACAGTTATCCCGGGCGGGTCGAAACTACCCTGCAGTAGACATACACAACAACGGTCGATCAAGTCCGCCTAAACAATACACGAACAGGCATGCAATAAACAGACAATGGGCACCAACTCCGCGGCGACAGCATCCACAGCTCTTCTTCTGCAACCACAACATTGAGCTCAACATTCAACATCTTCCTGCGACGACACTGCCACATACTCTTCGCCTGTCCACTGCACCTGCCCATTGCTCCATTGAACTGCAGCAAAGGAGTGGGATTAAACCTGCATTAGGAAATCGCAAATCATACCCATGGCGTGGAGAAAGAGTTCAGATACTGTTGCTTGGTATGCGGTTGCCCACCGTTCGACATCTCTCATTCTTCAAAGTTGTGATACCTGTGATATCCAGCTCGCCAGCATGGCGCTCTGAGCATTCTGTTCCTTTGCCGTCAGCACACACAGAGACCCCACCACCCTTGCCAGGGCTTGTGCTGCTCCGGAGGCACCTCTTGACTTGAAAGACACTGCGGCGCTCCGCGCTTTTCCCTTCAACTTCTTCTGCAGGGCTTGTGCCAGGTCAGTTCCACTTTCCTCACAAATCTGCAGATCCTAAGAAGCCAGCAGAAACGCCACGTGCATCAGCACCACACCATAGCAGCATGCATTTTTCAATTGCACATTTGAAATACCCCAGCATCCGATTCGCAATTTCTTCTTGCAAATCCCAGTTAGGGGACAACAAACATGCTGCAATACATTGGTTGTCCCTACTCTTAGGAAAGGTTAAAACATGATACGTTCGAAAGACGTAGTGCAAATGCTAACAATTCCGAGTAAACCAACACCAGAATGGATTTTACGTCTGTGGTGAACGAGGCGCACTTTCATGGTCGGCTTGAATTTCACACGGATGGAGTCGAATGCAAACGAGAATCCAGCATCCATCAATTTTTGTTCAATTTCATCCACAGCCTCGCCGCTCCAGCCAAAGCTCCCAAAGACACCGCAGGGAAGCTGCCTGGCCCTGGACTCTCGCAACACGGTGCCAAGCGCTGACTGCACCTGTGTTGGCATGTGGCCACCTAGCGTTGGGCTCCCTGCCAGCAGGACAGGGCTCTAATCACAACAGTCATTAACAGCTCAAATGTTGCAGATCAAACGCTGTTGGACCTGGCAACATTTGGCAGAAGAACAATCTAAAAACAGAGCAAAGACAAGACAAAAAGAAAAGAGGAACGGGCAACAGGCAAACAACGTTTGCGGACAAGGAAGGGATACAAGCCACGAGTTTCTCAGGGAAGTGCACATCGTCCCAAACCTGCTAAGACAGCCCGAAATCTGAAAAAGAGTTGCAGTCATTGTTTCAGAAGCAGCACACATGTCTGAACTTGCACAAAACTGCAAGGTAACTGGGATTGTGCTCATCGTCGTACCCATCACAAAGCCATTGGTCTTGGAGATCGCGTCACTGATCTCCTGCGGTTCGGCGACCTCCAGGTTCAGCGTCTGAACTCCAACACCAGCTTTTGTGATACCCCTGCTGATGGCCTGCCATCCCCATCAACAGCAGTGAGCAAACAGCTGTCCATAATCTGCACACTTTTCATTGTCTAATGCAAGACATTGCACGCAAGATCGTACAGTGCACACACTGCCAGCCTTCACACCAAAGCCATGGTACACGTGCATGAATCTCCACAAGCAATCTGTGATCTGCCACGTTCCATTTGTTGGCAGGATGTAAAGAAACAGTCACACCATTGATTTTGCACCCCAACTCCAAGAAACCATTATACCATAAGAACAGCACAGCCATCGGGTTGACATTCACCACAATCTGAATGGGGCAACAAAAATCAAGCTGCAAGCTGCAATTCTGACCAGTTGGACGGAGATAGACACTAAAGACGAACGACAACAATATGCAGCACTCCTGTGTCTACTAGCAGCACTGACCTGCGCCAGAGCTGCAGTGTTGCCATAGGCACTTGCATACATCACAAGAACACTGTACGTGGCCATCGTTTGTGCCAAGGTCCACTCCTCATACTTCCTCAGGAGCTCCTGCAGGGCAACACGGACAAGTGGCCCATGTCGAGGACACAGGATTGAAACCTGTCTGCCAGGACCAGTGGCTGTTACAGCCGCTGTGGTGCTGGGGGCTCGTTTACCATAGCCCCCAAAGAACAGCAGAATGGATCCGAACGACTTCAAGGCCCTGCAGCACAAAGACAGGATGTTGCAAATACAGTATCTGGGTTACCTTTGCACAGACAGGTGAAAGGCCACACTGATCTAAGCATGGAACATCTCATGACAAGCCAGGGACAACAAGGCAGAATACATATTGGGTTGAGGCTCGATGAACACGAATAGTCAAGATGTACCAAACAGACAATGAGCGCATTGAGGCCATGGAGCCACGAAGGCTATGTCAGCACTCCACGAGCTTCCCACTCTTTCGGCAATCGACCAGGCTGCACAATGTCCAGAGGGCAGTCCAAGGGAGAAGAAAATAACGTCTTGGAATGGCAATTCCAAGTCAAAAAGTGGCGCAGTTGTGCCAACAGAAGACTTATCATCCACTCTGACTCGGCTCCAAGAAATACATCACAAGGATATGGAGAGCCCCAAATGAATCATCTTTCCACTTTGTCCTCCAAGGCAAGTAAGTGCCTTACTTTCGAACTATGATTTGGACAGCAACAGTTCAAGAGTGTGAGCTTCATAGCCAGCTTCTTGAAATACATGTGCGGGTAGTACTTCACTGCACATGGGATGTTTACTGCAATCATGACAAGGTATTAGGACCAGTCTTGCGCATCCTGGTTGTTCATTAATTCGATTATTGATCGATTCACAAGGTGACGCATGAAGCACCAAATCAAACCAGTTGCTGGACATGCTGATGATTGGGAATACTTGATGTTCGTGTGGGAATCGGCACAAAACATGCCCAACGAAGTCCATAAGAGGAGTTGAAAGTACTTTGGAATGCACACCTTGAGAGCCCAGCCCGGGGGGCTGCTCGTGTAGCAACCAAGTCCAATTTGTCAAAGGTGGCTGCCACTTGCGTGGCCACCGGTGCCAGCATGCAGTCGTAATAATACTTCCAGTCACCCCCATAAACAGACCAGCCACCAATGTCAAATGGGGTTTCCTGTCAGTGGAACAGTCACAACAGCTCAAGCCTTCACCTAAAAGAATGGAATGCACAACGTCACCTGCATCAATGACTAACATCCAAAAGTCACCAGATGATCACTTTCCGTTGCTGTAGTTTTATGCCAAGGTGACAATTAGCCAAGCACTGATCGTTCTTACATGAATTGTCTGACAATTAGCCCTGAACACAGTGTTGTTGATGTCGAAGCTTCATGCACTGCAATTCTGAATGAGTGGTTGATTGACAAACCAGCCACAACGTACAAGAACATTGCCAACAGGCAATAAATTCTTCTGTCCCCAGATTCTTACAGAGTAAGCACAGTATCCACTCAGCGCATCAAAAATCTGAAAGGCCGTGGAAACGGATGGACCACACTGTAGCAGGGATAGCACTTTAAGAATTGAAACTGGAACTCAATGCTTGCTCACCTTGTAAACATCCACCAATGTGGGGGCCACATGGGCAGAAACCAACTTTGATGTAAAGAGAATGCCAGCAGCTCGGTAGTATACACAGACCATGTCTGGCCATCTGGACGTTCCGGTCCGAATGAATTCCAGCTCTTGGCCGTCGTCCAGCTTTATGGGCGCAGTTGGGCTAGCAACAACAAAGATGACTGACTCCAAAAGCGCAGTGCCCTTTTCATCTTCACCTACATGGGCAACAGCACAGTTGAAAAGAAGGAAGTTTGCAGCTGACGACCCTCGTGCATCAGTATCTTTCTGCTTTGGGGAGATCGTGCACTGCTGTGTTTGAATAAGGCAAGGATCTACGTTTCCTTGAACTGTCCTTGAAGGTTCAATGTAGCCTTCACTAACACCTTGTGGCAGGCTGTCCAAATAAACACGTTCATATCCAAGTCCAGACCACTCAAGATACCACATTCCCTTGCAGACTATACAATGGACACAACACATATGGCCGAGGACAGCCCACCATGGCCAGGTGCATGTTTCGAATGGACATCAAGTCCACAAACAAAACCACAGGCGTCCCTTTCAACACCCCACTTTTCCATGCGCCAATGAACTTGTGCACAACCACACGCGGCAAGAAAGCATGTCCAGCACTTCTCCTTCCTTGGACGCCCATTGAACAGCGACTCACTTATTCTTTCCAAGGCAACAATAGACCCCACCGCAGACAGCCATCGGCTGTCATTGCAAGAAGCAAAAGGAGCTATGTTTGCGATCCAATATCAAACAGATCGTCTCCACAGCACACTACCCAGCGACCCACCCAAGGTCTCCTGTAAGAGAGCAATGGCCGGCTTGGACATGTGCACCTGCAGGCGAGGCTCTCTCTGGGATTTGGTACAGCCTTCCAGCACCCTCCTCAGGGTGGGGATGCACTTTGGGTGCATTGTTGTCATTACGATCTTGCCGATGGATCCAAGGTTGATGGCTCTGTTCAGGGTTGTCACTGCAGCAACACAACAAGCGCGCGACCAAAATGTAATCATCTGGAAATGAAGGTGGCACACATAGGTGACTCCCGTAGCCCCACAAGATGGACAACTGATCCACTGCGTTTCTTCCTGGAACCCCAACCGATGATAGGTTTGCAACACATCGTAGCACAAGAAAAGATTTGGAGCAGAGAAGTGGATTTTAATAAGCAAGACACTGCTGCAGCGGGCCATGGCACCCAAGTCTGCTGTGCCTGAACGATCTAAGTTGGGGATTGTTGGCTGACCCTCAATGTGCATTTGACCATCTGTATCTCCTTTTAACTTCAGTAAAAGGAGACCACTTGGAGAAAACTCTAAGCCTCTTGCCCATTCTGACCCATGCTCACCAGCCAAACACAAGGGCAGCAAATCAAGTGACGGCAGTTCCGGCTTTGCCAATCGGGGCAATCCTGATAAAGCTCCACTCACTATATTTGTCGGCAAAATCTTGGTAGGGTACGTCGATCAAGACTGTTGTCTCCTTTGAGTTTCCCTGGTGCAGACATGAAGAGGATTAACATGCAACGACCACTTGCAAAGAATGCAATCATTGCTGGTGTAAGCACGTGCTGATTGCACCTATCGACCTGCCACCAGCCCTGCCAATGTTTTCAGGAGTTTAATCCAATGATCGACTGTGAACCATCCAGGGGCAGCGCAATGAGGTCCAATGACCAACAAGACAGTGGTAGACACACATGGCAGACTATGTGCAACAAGGACAGTATTTGTTATCCCAGCCAGCATATACTGTAGTATAATAAACCCTTCTGCATAGTAATGTAATGCTTGACCCCTTTTCCAGAGAAAAATTAACAAGAATAATGCTATGCTGGCTCTTTTTGTGCGGGGCAATGCAAAAAGCGCCAAAAATAACGCTCTGACAAACCAAATGTGGATCACAAAGCGTAACAGTCAAATTTTATGATGCACAAGGGTTGAATATATTATGGTATGCGTCAAGGGCAGACAGCCCATTGTCAAGCTGGCAAGAGAGGCCAGTTCCAGTGCCATCAACCAACATACCTAGCATTGCAACTCATTCCAGGTCTCACAAAGCTCCTCTTCATGAGGAGGACTGCCATTGTGAGATATTTGAGCACATTCTTTTATGTCAACAAGACTAGCAGTCTTGCATTGTTCATCTTGGACAGATTTTGTCAAAACATTCATAACCAATACCACTAGGAACAAGTATCGATGTGTCAGGAACAAATGCTGCACGTTGATACTGTGCCTCAAGGCAAATAGGTACTCTCTATGACACTCACCTTGATGAGGTAGCTGTTGTCAGCAGTTCCCCGCTTGAGACCATACTGAACTTCGAACTTCAGCCTTTCGGTGCATGTTCCCCTCACACAAAAGACGTTGTCTGTCACCTCCAAGACTGACTCATTGTCAACGTTCACTTTTGGCGCTTCGGTAGGAGGTGGAGGAGGGGCCTGCATGCGGGAAAACTGTCCAATGGGTGTCCCATTCTATTTGACTACATATTTGTCATCACATGACTAGGCAGGCGGTTTCACCAAGTTGGCGTTGTCGGACATCACTGCGCATTTATTGCGATCAAAAGCACTGCGAAGGACCCGCCCATATGCCCCCTTGCTACCCAATGTCGAGCGCCAATCCATCGAGTCCAACCAAGGCACACAACCGGAGAAAATTTCATGGGAATGCATTGGAATCTGTAAATACTCGTCGGTTGGGTGCATGCAGCACAGACACATTCAACTACAGCCTCCCTAAAACAGATTGACCCCGAAGCACAAATTCAGCGACTCGGGACAATTGCGCACCAGGACAACGGGGCCCATTTGCAACTCCCTCGGCACCCACACCCCACATCGCAGCGGATCGCCACCCTCAAAATCAGCCCATTCTTGACCTCAGCTTGCGATGTGCCTTTGCAATCACCACAGATGCGACACACACTCGCCAATCAGGCATTGTGCGAGGTTTGCGAAGCTCAGGATCCTCCACTCAAGAAACCCGTCGACCGCGCATCTTCCCGTGTCGACCAATCGCACGGACGTCCCTCAGGATGCGACTTGCGGCGGCCCCGCCCGCGAGGACAGTCGCACGCCCACCTCTTCGACAGTCGGGGCGGTGGTCGCGGCCCACACGCCCTGTGATCGCCACGCCTCCACCGAAACGGATCGGGATGCCTTCGGCGCCTCGGGAGCGGGATGCCTGGCGTGAAAGCCAGATCGAGCCGCCGGCCTACCATGAGTAGCGGGCAGGTCTCGAGGGGCGTCCGAGACGACCCTCAGGGACGCCCCCACCGGCAGGTCCTGGACGAGCGCCATGGTAGTGGCGCCCGCGCGCATGGGTGCCGAGTGTGTGGTTCGTGGCCCAAACCGTTGCAGTAAACTGCGACGTCAGCTGGCGATCATAATGGCCAGTCATTACACTGCAGATGAATGCAATGGCGGATCCCATCATTTTGTGACAGAGTTTCTGGCAGCCAGCAACTGGACTGCCTCGCGCAGTTGCCCTGGCGCGGTTGCTCGGTGGCTGTTCTTCGGCACGTCGCACAGACGCCAACGCCAAAGCGCGTACACAGCGGCCTGTTTACTTGTGGGCGCGCCGTGAGCTCGGCTCTCGCAGGAGACAATCGAGTGCAGGCGTCGCTACCATCGCAGCAGTGGGGCCCTTGGGGGCGTCGGTAATGCGCGCATTCCAGCTGGCTGACGACGACAGAGTCCTCTCGGCATGAGCGGTGAATCTGAAGATGGGGATGCTGCCAATAGTGCGGGATATTCGCCGGAATGTAGCAGTGGTTCTGAGGTGAGTTCTTTCGCTCAGGCGCAGCCGCGCTAATGTACAGCAGATTCTCCAGACGTGCTGAATGGGATGATCTGTTGGCACAAGGCCGCTTCAGCGATAACCTGGTCGATTTCGCAACACTCGAGCAATCTCTATCTGGCTGTCATAGGCATCCAGCTGTGATTCTTGATTGCCATGTGGCAGTGGCTGTGAGAGTTTGAAATTGCCAGTTATCCTGAAGAGTAGATGCAGCCATTTGACCTGTGAGAGCTGAGGTGTCACAGGAATGTGACACAGCAGCTGTTGCGATGACAATAGTGTTTGCTTAAAGCAGCTGTCCTTAATGTACCTATATGTACCACGTGTTAAAGAAACATTTGATCCACCCCAACATCGGCACAGTAACGCCAATGTGTTGTGATGCTGTGTGTTTCTCTGAGCACAGGACAGCAGCACAGATGACTCCTGCAGTGTCGAATGCCTGAGGGATCAAACAAACAATGGATCAAATCGACCAGCCAATTTGAAACAAAATGGGTGAGTTCCTGGTTCCAGTGGAGGAACATTTGAGAACTGGCCTAAATATTGCCAACATCAGTGTTGCCAGTGAGAGCTGCAGTCATGTGTTGTATATCTGGAGCTGTTCTTTCTATCATATGTGAGGATTGATGTTTATGCACATGCAGGAAGGCCCTTGAAACTGGTGATTGTGCAGAAGGCGCTTGTGGGAATGACACACTCACTTCCGAGTCCTTGCGGCAGCAGAACATTGACGCCCTCCTTGCAAATAGGTGAGAACATTTGTTGTGCCAGGTTTTCATTGTTGCAAGGCCAAGCTCCGATTGGCAATTTGTCCAGAACCACCAGTGGGCTGCTTCTACAATGCGCCAACAAATCAATGTCCTCCCACAATGCACTAGTTGCTGATGATAACGCCTGTGATACCTACTTTTCTTGCCTGAGGTTGACAAACAAAACTCAAGCCAGAATTGATACATCGAAAGTGTACTTGTTGTTTTGTGGCCTGGCACCTTTTGATAATGCAACTAACTGCTGGGCCTTGCATAACAGCCTGGTAACCTGTCGGAAGCCACTCCTGCCAAAGCTGTTGGCCGTGCAGGAGGGCGAGACACAGCTGAGAAGGGCATTCAAATCCCCACATCCTGCCGCTCCAAGCCGTTCAGAGGTAGACAAACTTAATTTTGCATTGCAAGTGCACTTCCATACAGATATTTGATATTTTGCTTTGCTTCCCCAAAATGTTTGGCTACTCATACCTGCTGCACTTGCCACAATAGCGAGTGCTCAACCCTTCAGTGCACCTACATTGTTGACCTGTGATGCCTTGTGCTCAAGGGTGTGGCGTGCTTTCTTGTGGCAGGATCTTCGACGAAAACTGTTGGCGCGGAGGCGATTTGTTCCATGGGGCTGCAAGGCACCTTTGCCACAGCCAGTTATTGTTGTGCCCGCAACTCCTCCTCTTCGCGATGAGCGGTGTGAATCTTTGGAGGTACTTGCTGATCGCCGGAGATCCGGCTGGCACAAAAATCACTCTAACAACAATCTTTGTGGGCTGCTGCAAATGTGCTGATGCCTTTGCAGTGGAAATATTGACAGTCAGTTTTCCACCTTGCATTTTTGCAACTGCCAGGATGACGCTCAGCAAATTGAGCAGCTTGTGCTGTGGGCGCCCCAAGATGGTGAAGACGACCTTACAATTACTGTTGATTCAAGGCTTACAAAGTTCTTGAGGCCCCACCAGAGAGAAGGCGTTCAGTTTATGTTCGACTGTGTCGCTGGACTCAAGGATTTCGGTGGCCAAGGTGACCATGCACTTGTCCATACTCCATGCTCTTCGACGGGGCGTCCAATTATAGACGTGGCTGGCTAAATTTGTCAGATGAAACATTGTGAACAATGTTTTGCATCGAATCCTTTGAATTTGCTGGCAGTTACCATGGCAGTCGACTGCACCATCACTTCTTCTTTGACTGTTACAAGCTGATCGGTTCAGTTATTTGGCAACTGCTGCATGACCCTTGTCAACATAGCACTAGCCATTAGACCGGAGCTACAGCCCACATCATAAATGTCAGTTATAACAGGCACTGTATAAATCTTCCACATGAATGCTCCACTTGCGTCAAATGCAGCCAGCCGGCATTCTTGGCGATTAATACTGACCACGTTCACCACGGCTGCCACAGGGTGCATATTGGCCGATGACATGGGTCTTGGGAAGACCCTTCAGGGCATTTCGCTGATGTGGACCCTTCTCAAGCAGGGAGCCAAGTGCCTTGGTGGCACTCCAATGGCAAGCAGAGTCATCATTGTGTGTCCAACCAGTCTCGTAGCCAATTGGGACAGTGAATGCCAAAAGTGGCTCAAGGTGAGAGGTCCTTTGGTTCACAAGGTGCTCTATTTGCACAGACAGACTTGGCATCAATGTGTTGAAAGTGGGCTTGATGGTCTGATCGGCGCTTTGTTCTGTCATCAAATGCAAATAATTGTTTTGAATGAAACCATTTGACTCAGAAGTCGCTGGCGATTTGTGCCCCATTCAGGCTGCGCTGTGAAACTGGTGCAGGGTGCCGTCCGCACAATGCCAATGAGTGAGTCAACTAGAGAGGATGTGATTCAAGGCATCAACCAGTTCTTGAGCCGCCAGAAGCCTTACCAGGTAACCGAACTTCACATATTGGCACACATGTGATCCCATCAGGAGTTGTTTTGCACAGTCTCCTTTAATTGCATTTCCTTGGCTCAAACTGTCCACCACCGTGATTCAATGTGCCAGATCCACACACAATTCTGCTTTGAAAATATCTGCATCAGTTGATGAAAACTGGTTTGGCTCCTGCAAGGCTTAGCATGAACATCGCCTGCTGCCGGATTTTGCAGGAGTGCCGCACACAACCACCAGTCTGCATTCAGCACTTAGGAGACCCGTTGGGATTTTTGGAATGATGTGTGCTATGTATGTTGGTGTGCATGTTTGGTATCCATGTGGCTGTTTACGCTTGGTACATATGTTGGTATCAATACAGCCCGCATCTGGGTACTCCCACTGTGTTGCTGGCCTGTTGTGCAGTAGCCCACCGATCACTGATTGCCACAGGATTCAGAATAGTAATGCTTTTGTTCATAGTTCCTGGCATCACGTTGGCTGAAGGCGAATGGGCAACAATCATTTCGCCAGAGCTAGGACAGCTGTAATCGCATTGGCAGTTCAATAGACAAAGTGATTGGCCCAGGCTGACTCCTTTTGGTATGCTGTACCTTGTGCAAGGTGCTCATCATATCATACGAAACTTTCCGCATTCACAGCAGCAGGTTCCATGGGCCTGAAGCTTGTGATCTGCTCATCTGTGACGAGGCACATCGCCTGAAGAATGACAACACCCTGACCAACAAGGTGACCAGTGTACCACGAACGCAAATGTAGTTGCCACTGGTGCAAGCCCCCCTTCACATGTGTCACCCAGAGAGGAAGCAAATATTCACAGCCCTACTGGCCAACTGGTGTCGAATCCATGCCGAATCCTAGGAATCATCCTGAGTATGTTCGTGCATAGCAATGGTAATAGAAGCCTTTGGCATGGCCCTTGGCAGAGCTTTGCTCATGTGCTTGCCATGTGCTTCTTTGCTGCCCATGTTGATGTTGCTGCCCATTTGTTATGTAGGGACCCAGCTTATTGCACAACTAAGATGTCACTGATTATTTCTTTCACACTGGCGGACAGGCTCTTGGCACCCTTCAATGCACACGTCGTGTGCTGCTGTCAGGAACCCCAATGCAGAATCATCTTGATGAGGTAAGATTCTGATTGATGCACAGGGTTTAGAAATCCCAACATTAACATCTTCAGGCTTGTGAGAACTGCAAATCTGTGCATCAATTTTGCAAAGCATTCACAGATGCATTTTCTGCCAGAACAATTTGCCTTCATATGGTAAAGTGGGGCTCTTATATATTGCAAGTGATGATGTGCATATGTATGTCCAAAAGATTCTTGTGTCCCTTGCCAGCACATTTGTAAACTTAACCACCTATCGGTAATGCATGCACACAGTGGTCGAAGATAAGAAGGTTGCTGCCACCTGATACCTTGCCTGCTACCCGCACAGTGTTTTCTGACTACTCTAATCTAACGAAAATAGCCACCCAAGTGAACTCCCTTGCGATAGAGAGAATCCGATTGGCATATACAGCTTGTGCTGCAGAAGAGGCACACAACTTCGTATGGCATGAGACTTCACACGATCACACAGTTCCCAAGCTATCAGGCCATGTGCTCAAATGATGATCTTACATAGCCACCCAGAACACAACAAGGTTATCATGAATTTATTGTGCTTGCGGTAACTTGAATTGAATTCAAAGCCCACTGTTTACAGAAGATATTGTCCGATCAATTTTGATTCAATTGCATCTGCTCCCAGGAGCACAACACAGCCACTACACTTTGATAGGCGATGACAGGCAGGTTTTGCAATTCCTGAATGCTCCAAAAAGCTATATGCCATCGCTGGCTGCCGAACCACACCTCTGACACAAATTGGAGGGTGTCAGTGGATGGAGCTTCATATTGCATTGTGCTTTATTCCTGATGGTGACAGCACTTGTGGGGATGCACAATGCAAAATATTGGTGTGCTCTGTGGAACAGTTCTTGACTGTTGACAAAAGATCTGAAGGGCGACGGTTTGATTATGTGAGGAATTCTTAGATTTAAATGGTAATGTATATTGCATGATAAAATGCGTGACAGAATGTTGACAGTTCTACGCGATGGTGAACTTCTGCAATCCGGGGGTGTTGGGCACGAGGTCCAGCTTCAAGCGCCACTACGAATTGCCCATCCTGAAGGGAAGGGAGCCAGACGCTGATGAGGAAGAACTGAACCTGGGTCTGGAACGCAGTAGTGAGCTCAGCACCATCGTCAACAAGTTCATCCTCAGGAGGACAAACAAACTGCTGAGCGAGCACCTGCCCCCAAAGGTGACATTCCATTTGCTCTTGACACCAGAAGACAAACAATGAAACTGCGCTTTTTGAGGCATTGACAGACGTAACATAACAGCACCATTTGTTCAAGAACCTTTGCGTTCCCAGAGATGCTTGCTCATGCAAGCCTGTGACTTGCCCATGGGGTGCAGTGAGTGACAACACCCCAACAGCAAGGGTTGAGCAAGTTGGCCCTTGGTACCAAACTGAAGTTATAGATACAGCTAAAGCATGCCACAGGGCGATGTTGTATATCTATTAGGCCAATCAACCCAGTGTTGTAGTTTGCTGAAGGCAGTTTTGCATTTTGTTCAATCAACAGCTAGCTGAGCGTGCCCACTCTTGTGGAATTTGGCTGTTGCATACAATGGAATCTGACATGCTCAACTTGTACTGGTTCTGCCATGGACCATCAGCCATGTCCACCAGACAATTGTGACACGTGTGTCCTTGACAGGCAAGAAAGCTTCTAGAAACCTGGTCTGTGTCACAGAGGCCAGTACTAGGCTCTTCCCTAGGCCTCAACAAATTCCCTGTGTGAACCTTACGCCTTGTTGCACTGAGCAGGGAGCTTTCCTGTTGTTTACTGTCAACTGGTGACGATGGTCTGCTCCTTAGTCCGAAGATATTTTACCAACTATTGATAACAAATGTGTCCCTTTGCACAGCCATGAAGGGGCTCTGGGAGTGCTGTTTGTGCATCTATTGAGATGCGGTGCTTCGAATCAATTATCAAGTGGAACAATCGACACCATGGCGGAATAGCAGAGACATGAACAGCCAGAAAGGCATGTCTGTTTTCAATCAGTGAAGACTAATTGCAGTTCCCAATTGTTTCGTTGGAAAATCTTGCAGTATCAGCATCCATATCCCTTTGTGCTCCCTTGGTTGCTGATCCAGGTTGTGGAGGTTGTCTGTTGTCGACTGTCGCCACTTCAGCAGTCGATGTATGCCCGCTTCCTCGAATCCACCACAACCAAGCGCTTGCTCAATGGCAAGTCTGCCCGCGTGCTGTCAGCGATCACCTCCCTGAAGAAGTTGTGCAACCACCCAAAGCTCATACAGGACGCCATGAAAGATGAGAATGGGGACATCGAAGGGTTGGAGGTGAGGAATATTGTTCTTTTGTCCATGTATTTTCCCAACCTGGATTACCTGTATGTATATCTTCCAAGGAATATTTGCTCAGGACACAACAGAAAGGTTGCCAGTCGGGCTGGGACACTGTGATCTGTCCTTAGTTCTTCCTCTGCACTGTTTCAGCAGGAACAACCAAAAACAAATCAGAAAAACTACACAAAGAAGCAAGCAATGCGCCACAAAAACCACAATCGTCCTGCTGCAGGTGAAAGGATGATTTTCTTAGTTGTGAAAATCACCAAAGATTGGCACAACATTAATTTGGGGCCATGAATAGATGTTCTAACCATGTTGTCTTACCAAGGCGACAATGTAACTTGCAAATGCTGCTTGTGGGTCTAAGCGTTTGGATATGTCCTTCCTGCCACTCAGAGCTGCGCAAGCCTCCTGCCTGAGGGGATGGGCAGCAGGGGAAGGGCGTCCCGCTCATCGCTGCCTGAAGGATGGGAGGAACTTTCTGGGAAAATGGGTTTGCTGGCGCGTATGCTGGACTTTCTGCACAGAGGGACAAGCGATAGGTACATTGTTGGGACAGCGTTTTCTTCCACCTGTGCCCAATCGCTGCCACTTTATTGCAGCTTCATGTAATGTTGAACATTCAAGGGAAATTGTGTCCTTAGGTGGAGTTTTGGTTGGTTTGTTTCGGCACTGATTTCTTTGCAAAAACAGATGAATGTTCAGGTGGAGCCCCGACACTATCAGAAGAATCACAGTGCTCACTGCAAACAGCGACCAAGAAAATTTTTGCTCAAACATTACATGTTTCAGAGTCCTATTCCTAACGAAAGAGACCTAGTACTGTTGCTTTCAGTTTGTTTTGTTGGGATGATTACAATTCCTGGGGTAAACTGGACAGAAACTCAAAACTCAATTGCGGTGTACCTCCACAATTCAAAATGGCATATTGGGAGGGCCAGATGTGCCATTCCGTGCAAGTGGAAATAATCGTGTTCGGTGTCTACTTTCCTCATTGTCGGTCAACTGTGGTGTAATGAATGGATGTGGCATTTGCATTACAATCGCAGGATTGTGGTTGTGTCAAATTACACCCAGACATTGGACCTCATCGCCGCCCTTTGCAGGGATCGCAAGTATCCCCATCTGCGCCTCGATGGCAGCACATCCATCGCCAAACGGCAGAAGCTCGTGAAACGGTTTAATGATCCCCTGGATCGCCAATTTGTCTTCTTACTGAGCAGCAAGGCTGGCGGATGTGGTCTCAACCTGGTCGGCGGAAATCGGCTCGTGCTGTTTGATCCTGACTGGAACCCAGCCACAGACAAACAGGCAGCAGCCAGGGTGAGGCTGCACATTCTAAGTTGCACTTCAGAATTGGCGCAATTTTTGGCCTAGCACCCTGATTTATGCAGATAGCTGTGCACTTTGTACATACTGAATAAGTGGGCCGCGTACCGAATACTTGTATTTGCAGCAGTGTCTCCATTCTCACCCAGTCCTTTGGTACTTGATGGCATGTTTGCAGGTCGGTTCGAAGGGCTTGAGGCATGCACTTCTCGTTCTGCATGCTCTTGGTACAGGAGCTGTGCATGACACTGGCAAAACTTGTCCACGTTCATGACAGGCAAATCACACCATGCATACGCTCAACATGCAGAGTTGCAGCATGTGCAGAACAGCCTTCCAAGAACTGCACTCTTTGCACCTCAGTTTGTCAGCCTGTGCTGGATGTCGCTAAAATTCCACGTTTCACACAGTGGATATCAGACAACAACTATTCAGCATCGCTTTGCTTGAAGAAATTAAAGTGCAGTGCTTCAACTCTTGCCCAACAGGAACCTCACATGTGGCACTGATCCTGCAGGGCTCACTAGTGCCTTGGCTCACGTGCAGTTTCTGCACCACAGTCATGCCCACATCCCTTGGATCCCTGCCTTTTACAATGCAATCATAACTTCTTTCGCAGGTTTGGCGCGATGGTCAAAAGAAAATGGTGTATGTGTACCGTTTCCTGTCAACCGGCACAATAGAAGAGAAGGTGTTCCAACGGCAACTGTCTAAAGAAGGTAACAAGTTTTCTGGCATTCCAGTGGCAGATGCAATGACTCACTGCATATTTTTCGCACTTTATGACACAACATACTTTGAGCATGACCACACCAAGCTTCCTGTCCCCTCTGCTGGCAACGTAGTACAGTTTCTTGCTCAATTCCCTGTCCACGTACTGGTTGTCTGTTCTCTGCATTTCTCTTTTCATTCCAACTTCATGTACTTTCGTATAGCCCCTCAGGACCTCCTGCTGCTCTGCCGTGCTGAGGCATGGCGAATCCAAGTGTTGCATCTGTCACCAGCAGGATGAGCTTCTGTTGCACCACAGTGGAAGTGCTGCTGTTGAACAGAAGCAACTGCAATGCTGGTTGAAACAACCGGTGGCTGATTTTCTCTCTCTGTGGGTACACTGATCGCCTTCGTAACAGTCCTTCAAGTCTTTTGCATGTGCATTTTCCAATGCAATTGGAGACATTCTCGTCAAGTTTGCAGTGTGAAGAAACGAGCCCAAACCATATTGCTCAGGAGGATATGTCCATTACCCAGTGATACCTTCTGGGAATATCACTGACAATTCCGCTACCAGGCTTGCAGGGCGTTGTCGGCAAGAGTGGCCAAGCAGAAGCGAGTATGATGAGTGCAGAGGAGCTGAGAAATCTATTCAGTTTGAATCTCAACACTGTATCGGATACCTACGACTCACTGTGTCAGGCTGACAAACCAGAGCCACAGGTGACTGCAATGATGAACATGTGCTTTTCGGATGCAACAATAGGCTCATAACAGCTTTGAGATTACAAGTTTACTGTACCCCTCAAGAACTAGGTGAGATAGAGGATACGCACGTGGTGCTGAAGCAGTCCCATCTGTTAAGCCTATAATTCGAAAATGTTCCTTGCATGCTGCCATAAATCCTCCACCTTTAACACACTCCTTAGCCCAATTGGACTTTTTGCATATCATCATGTCAACGAACATCGGTTTTTCGATTTACACAAATGCTCAGTTGGCATGGTGTATTTATGGCATGATCCCTACTATTGTGTCTTCCTGCCTGGGACTGTCTGTTGTTTTGACGTGCCGTCGACTATGTTTCAGGAGGAAGGTACGTCACTCGACGATGACCCAATGGGCGTTGCCAAAAAGCAGGTACAGAAACTCCTTTGGCATATGCATTTTCTGCACAGTAGCTATTTGAGCTGTGCAAATATTGCTTCCCGCTGTGCATCGGTTTGGCGTCGCTGATTTATTCTCGACGGCTAAAGAAGCTCCCTGTGCCTACGATCGATGGCGTACACTGTTGACCTGCACAGCATTTGCTTGCATATTGTCCATGATGCAACAAACGGTGCCCTGTGTACCAACGGCTGGTCAGAAAAGAAAGGGACTTGTGTTGGGTTGCGAATGGGCCAACAGGCAAGACACAGTAATGTTCCTTTCCAGCAGAATCTCTTCACATCCAAAACATTGACCTGGCACACCACTATCCATGTAATGCTCACTGACACATTCACCGTGTCTTCAAGGTGGGCAAACCTGCAGAAGACGACCTGAGGAATTGGGGGCAACATTCTTCGGCACAGACTGTACCTGACAACGTCTTACGGCAAGCTGCTGGGGATGTGGTGCGTTCCCTAGTCTCCGATTCTGCACGTCGGAATATGTGGCAAATTCCCTGCCCATCGACTTCAAACTCGGGATCAGCCGACTGCCCAAGCTTCCATTCTTGGAAATGGCTGTCTTCGTTGCGTTGTTTGCATGAGCGAGGCAGTACCGTAGAACACATTTGCCCAAGTAAGGCAGGCAGCAGTGTTGCCGCAGCACAAGACAAAACACATCGAGGCAACATGTCCTTCAAATAGCACAGCGTTGTCAAACTGTGTTGGCTCTTAAGAGTGATACAGTCGAGAACTGCATAGTCTGGAAGTTGAACAGCGGAAGGATTAAAACAACTTGCACTTGAACGAACCGAAGATCTGGATGTTGAACGCCTGGGTTGCAGTTCTGACCACGTCTGTGATAACAGAATGTTGCGCAAATCTTACGTGCTTGTCCGCGTTTGTACTTTCAGGTTTCTTTCGTTTTCACTTGTGAGGTGGCTGGTAAGTCCTTAGAACTTTCCAACGATGGAGAAGAAACCCTAGCTGTGGAGCCCATGGCAAGACGCAGCGCTCCAGCGCCCCAAAAGTCTTCAACTGGCCAAAATACAAGAGACGGGCTTCGTGAGTCTTCCCCAGCTGCAGGGCTCGGGAAACGCATGAACTCAATGACGATGCGTTTATCAACCCCTCAAGGCGTCGGTCCTGTTTCTGTCTTCACTGACAGGAGGCACGTGTACTTTATTGGCGACTTGTGTGTTGCAGCCTATCTGAAATGATGCGGAAAGTATCCATTACTGCGAGCATTGCTGTCTTGTGAACGAGCCCTGGCATTTGCATCCTGTCCAGCCCCTTAGATGGTGTGCTTGCTGGCCCAGCCGCGACATATTGTGAAGGGGCGGCAGTAGAATGCCTTGTTGAGTGCCAGGCGGCACAACTGCGGATTCGTCGCAGTTTGCCAAGAAGGGGTCTGCCTCACTGCCCCCTAATTTTGTCAGAAGCGCAGTCAGATTCAAGCCATCAGAGCCGTCAAAGGCTGCCCTCAGGGGACATGATGGTGCCCACCGAGAATTTCTGTCGAGCTTGGGATATCTGAACAGTTGCGTTGCCAAGCTGCTCCTGGCGTGTCCTAGCGCCGGAAAATGAGACAATATCTGATGCGTGTTCATTGCTGTGCAGGGTATTGGCGGACAGAAATCAGCCGTCAGCAACCAACACAGAATTGGCGGTATTAGAGTCCTCCAAACGACAGCGTGTGACACCGAAACATTGTCCCACCATTGTCATAGACTCATCCAGCGGCGACGATTTCGAATAGCTCCAGATGTCAACAGGGGCAGATGCTCGACACGAGGCTGGCCAGGAGAAGATCTGGTCGCAAGTGGGCCTGGCGGCATCATTGGTGCATCATACTGTAACGGCCAATGCGTTCAATGCATGCTTTGTCTCTTGAGGGATGGAACTGATCGCCCGGAGACAATTGTCAAAGTCTTTGAGCACCTTCAAACGTTTTCAGAAAGAGGGGACAAACACAGTGTGTCTGTGTACTGGCGACGGCGACGATACAGACAGGCAATTCCCCACTCCGGACGGATAGAATAGTACCTTGTTGCGAATTCTGAACTCGTAGCAGTGGAATTGGGCACCCACCCCAACTTTCCAGCTTCACTGCTGGAAGTGCCACTGCCATATTCGGAAATATTTGTATTTTCTTGCTTGGAGAATAAGTTTTTTTAAAGTGTGTCACACAGATGCTGGAAGGTGGCGCTGTGCAACAGGTTTTATGGCGGTGGCTGGATGTGTTACTTGTAGTATCCAAGATGTTGCTTGTTCCATTCCCCACTGCGACGGGTGAAATTTGGCAGAAAAAAACTTGGCACGTTGGACGTTCCACCACCCAAAATTGGAGTTGCACCATACACATGCTAAATGAATATTGCCTTCCTAAACGTTTCGTTAAAATTGAATGGGCGGTGTTTTCTCAATCTTGGCGATGCGAACGGAGCAGCATTGCCGCTTCGTTTGCCGCACATTCGAAAATTTTCAACTGTGTCCGCCATCACTTTGAACTCCAATTTTGGAGCGTCGTCTCTGCTGCGGAAATCGCAGCGATCGCAGTGGGAAGCTGGCGTTCCAATCAGCCCATCAGTCAAGCCATCATCATCATTTGTTACATGGCAAGGCAACGATCAAGCCATCAGCCAAGCCATGATGTGCGATAATGTCCCATTTTTCTGGCTTGTTGGCCTGCTGGGGAACGGCAAGACGGCCTCAAAAGAGCGGGGCTGCCCGGGCAAACCCACCCGGATCGTGACGCCGGCGTCGGCGGGCAGTCCAAAACCTCGTGCGAGCGGCCTGCGGCGGGGAGGGGCCCCCAGCCTCTTGGGAAGTCGATTGGTGACCCTCAGCTTGAGCGTGAGGGCGGCCAAGGCCGCCAGGGCGTGCCGGCACAATGGCCGAACACTTGGCGTCCATTTTCGGTACCGAAAAGGACCGAGTGAATTGCCCATTCTACTTCAAGATCGGGTGAGTCCCTGGAGCGAGTGCCCGTCGAGAAACTCCGCGCGGCTGGTGAATTTAATGTGCTGGCCTGGGCGGTTGGCAGTCGAGCTGCTACCGTCCTGGTCCTTTCCCAGAAGACCGCATGTTGCTGCGCCGCCCGTCGCGGCGCCCACTCTGCCAACATCTCCCACCCCCCTGCCTGTCATCTGCGTGTGCTGGCCCTGATCCGCTGGCGCCGCCTCCGGCCGGCGTTCTCTTGCCCGCTTTGCTTGAGGGCTCAACCCACATTGGCTGTCCTCGTGCTTTATGCAGGGCCTGCCGCCATGGCGACCGCTGCTCCCGGCTGCACAACAAGCCAACCATCAGCCAGACCCTGCTGCTGACAAACATGTATCAGAACCCCGCCCTCAACGCGCCCCCGGGACCTGATGGCCTGCCCCAGGCGGTGGACCCGCGAACGGCTCAGGATCATTTTGAGGTAGGCGGGGGCCGTCGAGGTCTGGCTCATTCTGCCTGCGCTGAGTCCGGGGCGGTAGGACAGTGCACAAGGTCAAAGCAAGAGAGTGTGCGCTTCACCTGTGTCCTGGAACAATTCTAGGGGCGTCTGAGCTCAAACTGAGTCCACAACCTCAGTGGCTTGTCGCGTTCAGGCCATCGTGTTGCTGTGGACTTCTGTTGTTAGAAGAACCAGCCTTTCTGTGCTTGGCTGCCTGTAATTGTCTGGAGCCGGGGAACCAGGTGTTTGCACCCTGGATCACAGGCATTTTGTGCGATCAGCAGCAATTCTGCTGTGGTGCAGGACTTCTACGAGGACGTGTTCGAGGAGCTGTGCGTGTTTGGTGAAATTGAGAACTTGAATGTGTGTGACAACCTGGCGGATCACATGGTCGGTAACGTCTATGTGAAATTTCGCGATGAGGAGTCTGCTGCAAAGGCACTGCAGGCATTGCAGGGACGATTCTACGCTGGGAGGCCAATATTGGCGGAGTTCTCCCCGGTCACAGATTTCAGGGAGGCGACGTGCAGACAGTACGAGGAAAACACCTGCAGCCGTGGAGGTTACTGCAACTTCATGCATTTGAAGCCGATCAGCAGGTGTGTTGCTGGGCGCCCCGTGTTGCTGTCCTGCTGCCAACACTGCAGCACTCCACTGGCAGTCCCTTCCACTGCTCTTCCATTGGCCTTCCTTTGACGGAAAATGGCATTGAAGATTTAGTGCTTTTATCTGCGTTTGGCTGTTTTACGCTAATTTTTGGTGGAGAGGCTGCAACAAGCCATTGAGAACCTTATGTGCACAGATGTGCATTTTGTTCTCCAGATTGTTGCCGTAGTTTTCTTGTTGTTCACCTTATCATCCTTTGGTATGGACAGGGAATTGAGGAAGGTGCTGTTTGGCCGGTACAAGCGGAGAAAGAATGATGGCAGCAGGAGTCCCAGGCAAGCTGCGGTGGAAATACAAGTTTTCCAGTCGTGAAATTGATACCACTGCTAGAAACCACAGGGCAGTGCGTTGCTTCAGCTATTGTGATGTGTACTGTAGTCATGAAACCCTTTTGCAGCATAATGCACCGCTAGGCCCATCTAGGCAAAGGCAATATTTGAAATTTGATGTTATCCCAAAAAAGATGCAGAGCTGTGAAATGTAACTCCCCAGCTGGCTTCAAGTGTGGCCTCCCGTCGCAGCCACCCATGACAACATTTAAACATTGAGCCCACGTTGTTTCAATGTAGCGCGACTTGTTTCACTTTCATGATTTGGTTGCCAAGCAGTGCAAGCGAACCGATCAAGCCACGTTGCTAAACACAACCAATTATCTTGCAAATCGATTGCTCAACAGCTGCTCATTGTTGGCCTTGCCTGCCGCGCCACAATAATGCGATGCTTGCTTATTTTTCATCGCTACCACAGAGCTGTCGACCACCAGATCTGCAACATGCATGGCCTCTATTGGATGTGCATTAGCGGTTCAGTCAATGCCACAGTTGCTGCTGCCCTGTCCATGAATGGCCATCCAATCACTCAGAAGTGTGGTCTGGTTGGTTTGCATCGACGCCCACCTGCTGCAGCCTTTCCTCTCCAGTTGCACAGTGCTATGGACATGCACTGCACCTTGCCATCGCCCATGGGCCTTGGAAGGCAATCCCCCATCTGACTTGGGTCCCATGGTGCATGCACAATAGGTGCTGGTGAACTGGTCAGCTCCATGCAACACTGGCCAGCAGGTTGTTCTGTCCAGCCTGCACCCACTGGACCTTATGCGGAGTGCACAATTACATGAATAACGATCTTTTGAGAGAATGCGGAGCCAAGCTTGAAATTTGCAAACTAGAATAGAATGTCGAGATTTCAAATGCAGAGGGTTGAATACGGCACAGTATTGATGGCTACTCACTATCTGTGGTGTGGCAATGAGTTTCAAGACTGCGGCACTGTTGTACTCCATAGTTTTGACAGGCAATAGTGTGTTGTGTAGTGCTGTCTCAGCACCAACAAACATTTGTTAGTGCTACTGGATGTGGTGCACCCATTGTGCCTTTGGGAGCCTGCCAAAGCTTATGTGCCACACTACATACAGTTCTTCAGCACCCACTGCACCAATCAGCAAGCAGTCACATTGGATGCAATTGTGTGCATGTCCGAAGGCGGGACAAGGGTGGCAGCAATCGAGGGTACGATGGCAGGGATGGTCGCCATGGCGCTGGGCGCAGCTACAGTCCCAGGCGAGGCAGGAGCAGGGAAAGGGATCAAGGCAGGGGCAGGCCCAGGGATGACAGCGCGGAACGAAGGGCCAGGATCGCTGCCTGGAACCGTGAACGTGAACCAGCTCGGTCACCAGCTGCCACACGCAGCCCCCGGGAGGTGCATGGTGAGGAAGCTCCCCCCCAGCCTGCTGAGTATGGCAACCAGGATGGCTACGATGGGAAGAAAGAAGGGGAGTACGAGTACAATGAGCCACCATATCCGCCACCCGCCGACCAGCAATGACGACAGCTGTGGATTGACGTGTTTAGTTTCTGAGGTACGGGCGTTGCATGTTATCATATTGCACATGTGGCATCCCGCAACGCGCAGGCCTGCTAATCGACTCTGCTGCTGAGTTGGCTGTGGGTGGGAAGGAGGGGTACTGGGCTGTCCTTTTCCTGGCTGTCCACACCATCTGCTGCTTGCTGTTGCTGTGCCTACTCAGGGCTGTAGTGTTGCACAGGTAAACAGGTTGTCTTTATATGAGATGTTGGGGCAAGGTCTGGGAGCGCTGCCTTCTGTTATGTGCTAGGCAAGATTAGGTGAAGGCACTGCAACCAGCGACTGTTATGCCGCAGTTGCTGATCTGAATATCGACGCATCCCCCCAAGTTTGATTTCCAAGGGAGATGCCTGCAGTCCTGGACAGGGCATCACACGTAGCCAATGCAGCGCCTACGTTAGCGATGATGGTGGATTGGCACTCATAGCATTATTGGTAGTGTTTGGCCCGATCCAATGCAGTGCTGAGTGCGGGGATGCATGACCCAAGTCAGGATGCTCACCTGCAGACTTGCTGTGCAGAGTACTGGCCGCAGTGGCCTTAGAAGATGCAGGTTAGCAGATCCACAACCACTTGCCTGCTACAACATTCGAAGAGCATCGCAGTAGGCATACCCTTTTGGCGATGCCTTGAACTGTGTCTGCCTCTGAAACACATTGCCCACAGCCAGAATTGGCAAGCAACTGGTTCTGTGGAACTCACATGAGGGATAGTCAGCATAACGAATATGAACAGTGGCAAATTGTTTTGCACCAGTCCATGCAGGGAACTACGCAGCAGCTGAAGGCTAGCAGGTTTGGCCGTTTGCGCCTCAATCTTATCCCTATTTTGGTATGTACCACCTTCTTGACCTTGGGAAGGCTGCAGGTAGATATTTCACATATGGAGGTGTCTCCTGGACACTGGCCACGACCTGTACAATGTTCTTGTTGACATCCCAAATTGTGTAATAAACTCCAAGCCTTTTTCTCATTGATTCTGTTTGGAATCAAGCCGTATTCTTAGTGCAGACCAAACCAACAAAGCATACTGCTCTCTTAGAGGTAGCTAAGGTCGATCCACCTCTGCTGAAGGGCAAGAAAAGCTCGCGATGCCCCATCCTAGGTCCCAACAAAATGCACAATCGCGTTTCAACCACAGACCAATCAGATGGAATTGTCATATCTTATCCTCGGATGTCGTAGGCCAGCAACCAGCTCATGATCATGAGTAGTAGGGAAGCCATTTGCCATGTTCTGCTGGTTGTGGTGGTGGACTTCATGTCCAGCAGGTATCCATTGGTGGTTGGCTGTTGATGGAATGCAAGAGCTGACGCTACAGACGCACCCTCTTCACTGCAGGGGGAAGACTGGAGTACATGGTGAACGAACAGTAAATCGTGTAAATTGTCCCCCAATTCTATGAACAGTAGCTCGAGTATATTGTCGCCCTACCCTGCATCATTGCAGCTACAACTCGCGCTCTCAGCCTCCTGTCCATTGTCTCTTTCACATCGAAAACTGTGCGAGGAAAGGCCTGTGAAAAGCCCTTTGTCAAGGACGTTTCCTAGCAGACTCACCCACTGACTGGTGGTTTAACTCAGACAGTACATTAGCGCTGTAGTCTTTGCGCTGAGGCTGTTGTGCTTTTAGCTTGGATTTGGGCTTATGGTATGTACAGTGCGCCCATTACCATTCCGAAAACGGTATCTGAAAAGGGAACACAATACCATTGGGATGCCTTGGAATCGGATTGTGGTGGTACCAGTGTCCGGTCATTCCATATGCCAAACATCCCCATACGTAACTGTCCATGCCGGGCTTGGTTTACTATTCGCAGACACCTCGCTTGCTGTGCATAAGGTAGGTACTGTGCTCAGTGTGCAGGTCTGTTTCAGCTGGGTTGTGACATCGCAGGTGAACTACACACAGGTCCAGGGTACAGGTCGAGGAGGCGCAGCACAGCAGGGAAGGCTGGGCCCAGGCTGTCGCCAGCAGTGGAGGGGCTTCCAAGCTCTGAGGGTGTGGCCATTGTGACGCACTGTTTGGCTGCAGGTCCAGGTACAATCTCCGAGGCTGTAGTGCATGGAAGGTTTTCCTGTTGGACAGAGCGGGGGAGAGCAATGTGTCAGGGCTTTAGAATGGCGTCGGCGAAGTGCAGGAGTGGCTGCCACGTGCCCATGATTGTGGATGCTGTTCGTTCATGAGGGCGTTTATTTCATTGACGATGGGATCCGGATGGGTGTGTTTGTTTTTGTGTGTGCCTTTGTTTGCTCTTTGATGAGCAGCGAGTTGGTGACTTGATGTGCCCTGCAGGCTCCTGTTTTCAGTGTGTATGTATCCTGGTGCCGCCTGTTGGGGAGTCCAGTGGACTATGATCCGTGGCAGATTGAGACACAGGTGTGTGCCTCCTTCAGTCTTCCATTCCAGGAGACTGATGGAATTGTGCGCATCATCTGTAAAGTGTGCTTCACGAAAGCCAAGGATCAGTATTGATCATGTATTTCCCAGATGTATGTTTGCAGATTGTTTTGATGCCCCATATGAGCTTTGTGCTGTGGGTGCCTGCTTTGCTTCTCTGAGCTGATGCGTGCTACACCCCCTGAGTGTGTTGTCTCCCAGGAAATCCCCCTGATTGTGGCCCCTGCTATCTGCTATTCCCCTGCCCTTTCCATCTTTGTTTGCTGGTGTACCACCATCAAAGGACCTTGAAGGAGCCAGGCATGACTGGATAGGTTGGAGCTACAAGATAGGTAGCTACACTGCAGACTGCGGCAGCAAGGAGTACCCTCAAGAACTGACAGTGCAAGGTGCCGGATGAACTGTCCCTGAACTTGCACCTCCCAACTTGAAAGATGATCAGTGGGGAATTGTGAATGCACAGTTGCCACATTGTGCACGTTGTAGGGTTGGTTGCTGAGAGCTGGAAACGGGACATGTCGCCTGGTTTGGCGATAGACGGCTCATGGGCGCCGGCTACACAGTTGATGCATCTGCGTCACGGCATTGGCCTTGGAAAGGGCTACACAATCCACTATCACTGTTGAAACATGTTCCACTGAGCAAAGGCCAGTACTGAACATTTTCACATTTTCACTAGCACCCAAGAGTCACATACAAGCTCGAACTCACACTCGTGAGGGATGCACGGTAGGGAGCAGAAAGGACAATTGGCGGTCCTTGGGGTCTCGTGTATGGAGACTGCCGCCAACTTCGCAGCCCGTCAAGACTACCCTTTAGGACACAGCCGCTGCTCGTCTGACAAACGTGCGTAGATTGCACTGACCTCTCGGCACACCAGTTAAACCCAATCACTAGACTAGCATGGAATCTGCCTGGAATCCAACTGCCAGAAACAAAACTGCCAGCCGGCCACCCTTGGGGTGCTTGGCATCGCCAGCGCTCAACGGCGTCTGGCTAATCAAAGACTCGGTAGCTGAGCGTTGGTCCCACGTTCAGTGTCCAGAGTTCAGAGTACAGTGTAGCTGCTTGCCGCAGCTGCACAAAACGATACAAGGTTGGGGGGGTATAAACTATGAAATACAGGACGTCCCGCCAACCCAGAAGCCCTGATGTGCTTGCAGGAGACCCGATGTAATTTTGCGCTCGCCTTGTGTGCTGTGCCCTCGACGCCGCCCAACTAGGGCCGTAGCACAAAACTTATCAGCCAAAAATGCCGTCAACCAATCCATTCAATTGATTGGGAGAGGTTTTCAATTTGCTGCAGTGAGAACAAATGGCCACAATGGATCTCAATTCCGGTAAAAATGGCAAACCGGACCTTGGGCAACCCCTTGTTCACGAATGAATATGCCCCAAGGTGACATGAAAATATCACAGACGTCAAGGGGACAGAGCCACAGCGGGCGTAACCCGTCGACACTGGGTGATATGGACTTGTGGATATGGTGCGAAAGTATGGACAGCGCGTTTGCCAGCTGAGAAGCCCAGCAATGATTCCGTATTTGCTTCTACGGTTGCTTGGCCACGGATCACCGGGTCTGCCAGTCTCGAGCAAACATTCCTGGCTGTAACAGCATTTTGTGCGCTGGGACCCTCCTGCCGTTTGTCATTTGATGGTGACGAAGGCATGCAGGGTCGAGGGGTGGCGACCCCTGAACAGGGATCGTACGCTCGAGTCCACGGCAACGGTTTACAGCCAAGGCAAAGGGGCAACAGGAGCTCTGTCCCTTATATCCAGTCCGTTGATCAACGTCATTAATGCAATTCCTGTTGCCTCATCATCTCTATGTGTTCAGCTGGCAATACGCAATCCGTTCTGGTGACAGCAATGGAACGCATGCCCCGTGGATGAAAAAAATGTGTTCTTGGCTGCCAAACGGTGAAAAAATGTCAAGTTGTGGGCATCGGCATAGGCAAGCCTGGCGGCGTCAGTTAGGCGGACAGCGAACAACAGCGGACAACGGCAGGCGTTCACACCCCGGGAGGACGCAATGGTGAGTTTCACCCGGCCCCACTTTTGCTCCTTCCTCCCGTAGTAGCCAGTTGATCCCAGAGCAAATGTTCCCAGGCGCCCCTGTGTTCACCTGGCTTCGTTTGTTGGCTGCACAGCCGCGACAAATCAACGAGATTAAGGACTTCCTTCTCACAGCTCGGCGGAAGGACGCGCGTTCCGTGAAGATCAAGGTGACCAAATCTAAGATCACGAAGCAAAAGGTCACCAAGTTCAAGGTCCGGTGCTCCCGCTTCCTGTACACTCTCTGCGTCGCCGACGCGGACAAGGCGGAGAAGCTGAAGCAGTCTCTGCCGCCAGGTGCGCAGGGGCGGCGGCCTGGCCGCGGGATTGGGGGATTGGCGCATTTTGGGTAGTCTGCGCGAATAACCAGCCATAAAACTCTCGGCGACAGGTTTGCAAAGCGATAGGGTTGTGGGCCACTGCTGATGAACTTCAGCAAGCGATGCAAACTGTTCTGGAGATGAGACGAACATGCGAAGGGAGGGGAGGGGCTGTGTTGCTTGGGT